CAGCGCTGGAACTTTAAAAATGTCATCATAAAGCCAGACTGGCAGCAATCGTTTTCATCAAAACAAGGAATGGCACCCAAAACATGATGACTTGGCTAAACTGATCATTTTGAAGGGTTCCAAGTTCTATGATATTCTATGATAGGTTTTGTCATATCACCATTCCTGGCTGTGTTCCTAAGGCTTCTTGTCCACATCTACATCCACAATGGCATCTTTATCACTGCCTGTTGCCTGTCAGCAAGGTCGTGTCAGATCTTTGCAATGCAAACGTCAATAACTAGTGAGCCATGGCCATGGGCTGAGAATTGGTTAGACCAACAAAAAAATGAAAATGAGACTGATCATGACCAAGTTTGCTGCTCTATTGGTATCTCATGCCTCTATGGGTGACACCTGCGACCAGAAATCGAAGACCCAATCACTACAGCTACCAACCAGCATGGTCATGCAAAGGGCCAGTATCACTCGGCTCAACTCGTGATTCCATGGAACCTTGGATATCCTCATGGTGCCCTCAATCAGCAAACTAAACCGTGCTCAAAGACATGTGCACTGAGCACCCGTGCGATAGATTCTTCAGAAAATGGAAAGAAGAAATGATGTCTTATAATGAGAGCGAGAGAGAGAGATATATATATAAGTATATAACCAATTATATATTGTTACTATTCCAGTCAATTTCTGTTGCTTTGAACACTCTGGGGCCCTCTCATCTCTCACAGCCGCTGGACCAAGCTTCCATGCCTTCTGCACACCCTTGAGATTGCGGTCAATTTGCCGCACGACCTGTTTTTTTTTCTGACTGATTTCTCATCTCGACGACCATCAGGTGATACTTTCCTATGGGCTATGCCGTGGACATGTTTAGATTTTAGATGCTAGCTTAGTATAGGAGCTATCCCAGCTACCACGCCCGCGAAAAAAACAACCAGCCGGGTCCGGCCGTTTTGGCGAGCTCCAAGGCAGCAGCCGTGGCATTGAGTTGCCTGAGATTGTTGGCCATCTGGAAGCTCCATCAAGGTGCTAGCGGACAGATCCAGGAATGAGTTCAGAAGAACTGGATCAAAGAAGTGGCTGATATGAGCCATTACAAAATACATATTATCTCTTCATGAATTAACAAATAGGATAGCTCGAAGAAAGTTTGGAAGGCATAGAAAGTACTTCGGATATCACCGTGAGTGGAAGGCTAAAAAAACAAGAGTATGGATGTAGCGTTCCAGCTCCCGTCCTTGCATCTCTGTAGACATAATATGACAGAATACATTGTCCTGATAGAATACTTCGGTTCTAAGGGGGACCCTTTGGGAGAATGGCAATCGAAAAACGTGCATATTATCGGGAATCATGGGTCTGTCGAAGCATGGCTAAGCTGATATGAGCACTTGAAGTAGATTTCAATCCAGATCCACCTCTAATCTTTGGTGACATGATATTTCTCCAACAAATTATCAGGTTGGGAAACTCTTAGCAGGCTGCTTGGCTCCACAGTCACTCGGGAACATCATGACACCATAGCTCCTAACAGCCCACTCCATCCACCGATAGCACAGTTTCACCACACGCAGCTCAAACAGGGATCCCTGGCCCCTGCTTTTCGCTGATCAGGTAGAGATTGAAACCAACCTGAGTACTGTGGAAGTGCCCTGGGGCCAGTAGGACAGTAGGATGACAAAGAAATACTGTATGTCAATCGAAAACCCATGGAATTCTACGGTGAACCCCATTCAATAGCTGTGATTTATTGATGTTCATCCCCCCCAAGGTAACATAGGTTTTGACACATCCCAGTATCCAAGAACTTAATGGTACACATTGCACATAATTGCTGAGGAAAGCGCTGCACTGGGCTTCGTTTCCCCTAGTTACTAGTTGTGTGCCAACCCTTCCCCAAGAACCGACAAAAGTGGTTCGCATGGGATGTTCATTAAGCCGTTTTGGGAGATGGCTTTAAACTGCACTGAACTATCCAGATTTGTCGGATGCCATCTGCATTTATTATCACGTGTCTTCATTGACATTTAAAAACATCTTCACCTGTGTAAATAACATAGGATATGTTTGGTAGTTTGGTGATCTCTCCATTTTTTGCTGGGCAAAGACCGCAACTTTGGTGAAAGTCTTGGGAACAATCTCACTGCCTTAGGTTTCGATCCCTGTTTTGATTCTGTTTTCCTACCAAAACAGGTTGGTTGATAGGGATTCCAACCAAACGATTGTGATGAAATCAACGGTAAATGCGTATGGGTGTGTATGCGCACATGTGCGTATGGCTAGTGATAATCCCCAATATATGGCTAGTATAATCCCCCAAAATCAAATAAGCAGGCGAACTGCGGCTCTGAGGTGCCAGCCCATGCAAACACTGCCACCTCCCAGGAACACTTCGATAGCAACAAATTCTCACAGGCACGCACATAATAACAAATAAATAAACACACGCACACACACACATATATATATATGTATATGTATATGTATATATAAGTATAATTTTCCGATTTTATGTATCTTTAGATGCACATTATATGTGTGTATGTAATGTACACCTATAATCGTGGACATGCTTGAAGATATTTGAGGGTTCTGGCAATCATATATGTCATCATATGTATGTCTATATCTCAGTCTTTCGTTTCGACTCGCTTGTGGTCATCAACACAATCACACACGATTTCACCTCCAAATTCCCTGAGCTAGTTTGGTCTTAGTCTGTCCATTCCCTGTGTTCCACTAAGGTCCCGTATCCCCTAAAAGTCGTTGATCCTTCAATCTCGGGGGCTCCCGGACATACACGTAGGAGAGATCTGTGGAGATATCTCTGCCTCACCAACTTTCATAGGAGAGATCTGATGGCTGGGTAGCGTCGCAAAATGAAATGGAGAATCTGCACTTTAGAAATAGGAGACTTCTGGAGGATTGCGACCATGATACAGTCTTGCACGCCCTTTCATGCCCTTTCCCTGCATCTTCTTTTTTGTTAGCGTGACCCCCCAAAACAGTCTTTGGGATCTAACCTGTGGGCTTGGTTCAGCAGTGTTGAGGCCTTGTAAGACATAAAACCTTGGACTATTACTATTGGAATGCCAAGTGTCTCTTGCCTTTCATGTCACATCTTCACTTAAATAGATTCTTTCCCATACGGATGCTCATCCTGCCCCGGTTGTCTTTTGACGTATTATCATGTCCTCGGGCTCTGATATCCTCACTTAGATGGACCAGGAGTAGGCCCTTGCTGAGTGCTGTGCAGAACCCAGACCACCAGTCGCAAGTGACATCACTCACACCTCAAGGCACTAGCGCCGTGTAGCTGGGGGAGCATTGGGCTTCTCTAGGCCGCATGGAATAGACAGTCGATGAGCAAGTCCATTAGTCCATTCAACGTTGATCACACTGCTGACATTTCAAACCTACCATCCACAACACATTGCTCTCACGTATCGTATTATGAAACGGCGACAATATCGTCGGATATTCCTACCAGGAGGTTTTCGCATCCGACCCTGTGGCGCCCAGCGGTCGATGGCAAAAGCGCCGAGGCCCAACAAAGAAAAGTTGGTCAAACCCGTCCTCTGCTGAGAGTTGAGGGATATATGTCTTTGGTACCTGAAAAAATGAGGGAATTACCTCGCAAATATGGCAATCTTGAGGGGAAAATGATGAATGATGATGAAGCAGTAGGTTTGGGGAGGTACCCTATTTTCATACAAAGCCATGTGGATATTACGTGTTGTACCAAAAAACAAGAAAATCGCGCTGCTAAAAAACACATTTTCAGTCCAAGACTTGGACGGGCATCCATTCGAATGTACCAAGCAACACTTTTTGACCCTCTTTGGATGAAATTTAGACATTTGCCTTGTATGACCCGTCAAGCGTCCAAGACCCGTCAAGCGTCCAAGACCCGTCAAGCGTCCAAGACTCCAGGATTTGGAGCTTTTAAAAAAGGAAGGGAATAGCACCCACCATCCATGGTGCTCTGTTTATCTACGACCACCCTGTAGATCAACGAATTTTGGCCAGCTTTCTCCAACCTGAGGGGGGAAATACACATTTGATATCACATAAAAGCAGTGCCAAGTCCCCTTTCCTTGTTGGGCTTACCACCTTAATCAAACCCAACTGGTCCAAATAAGGCCGTGGCAGCGAGGCTTCAAGCTTGCGCTCCTCAGGAGGGCCCAAAAATGGTCAATCTTGGCTGCTAGCCCTCTAATTGTAGCTTTCCCAAGTGGTGAACAAAAATCATAAGCGCATGTGATATGGCTAATTAGCTTTGTCACGTTATATCATGCAACTGTCTAACACTGCATATAGGCAACATATACTGACTCACGGACACCCATCTATGATCTTTGGAGGCTCAATCACTTTCTTAATTTTGATATCTATATATATATATTAAAGCTTTGAAACACCACTCAGCTTTCAACACGCCTCGTAATAGCCGATAGAATTAAAAGGAAAACATGAACAACAATCAGCAGCTATGGAAAACTGGTTTCAACCATTGCCTAAATTTGGGTAGTATCTCCGGCATGAAACACTAAATGTTCATCCCATATTTTCTAGCGAGCTCATTTGGGTTTCTCTGAAAAACATGGTGCCAACATCGAATTTCCCAATCAAATTTATACAACTTGGAGTATCCAACCCATGTTGATGGGCAAATCTCGATTTGTCTGAAAACAGGGCACCCGAAGATTTGATAGTCAATCATTATTTCACTGCTGTTTTATGGCCTTAACAGGAGGGTAAACGGTATACCGCGATGCCCTAATTTCAGACACGCCCAAATTGTTGGGGTGGATTTTATCTATTTCATTATATCCCATTCACCCTCATTAAAACCCATTAAATCCCATTAAATCCCATTAGACTCCCTTAAATCCCATTAAATCCGATTAAATCCCATTATTCAATCCCACCATTATCCTTTTTTCGTTTTTCCTTCACTTCCAGGTTCCAACCAGCCACCCCCCAGGCATAGGCCACCACACATTGTCGTCACGCGCGCGTTGAATTTCTTCCTGCACCTCCTGCAACAGCAAGGCCTGCGGGGCCAGGCTCATGGCAATGGGAGATCCTTAAAGAATGAGATGGATTACCATTAAAAATAAAAATATCTGATTTTTCCCATAAAAAATAGTATAGATGGATTATCAGTTGTAGATAAAGTTTCCATTGTCAAAACTTATTTGGTAGATGATCAGTTTAAAACTGTTTTAATTAATGGGAACAATATCTAAAAATGAACCGTTTTCCGCAGCTATGCTAAGTTACCAAAGGGTAAGAAAAGCACTGTTTGGCAATGTTTAATCAGCAATCGTTGATGAACAATACTTAGCAAAACGTATGACCATAAGCGATAACCTCCAGGATCAGTGGATGAACTGGAGGAAATTTCAATGTAGTTCCCAATCAAAAATAGCGGAACGTAGTATTAGAATGTATGAAATCAGCAACGGGATATGCATGGATGTATGAACTCCATTTGCTTGTTTTCTAATCAATCCCGCGCCAAAGCTTGATTCGGCTTAGGCCTCGAATGATACCTTCTACCAATCAACACGAATAGTTGGCTCGGATTGTTGAGTTGCGATTTCAAGGGTCAAAGTTTCTTGAACGAGTGGCATAGGGAAAAGTTTGGCTTACCTGAGCAACCTAAACATCAAGAATGATAGCGGATGATCAAAACCCTTGAGGACAACCAGTTTTGAAACAGCGTCCGAACACAGCTTGTCCAAAAGCAAACAATTGGATTTGAAGGCTTGAAGAGATCAATACTTGGCCTGTCACGTAAAAGGCATATACAACCTCAAGGTTGGCTTCTTCCAAAGGAGGGCCCACCACTTGTGCCACTTCCAATCTAAAGTGGTGGCCCTGAAAAGTCCTCTTCTTAATTATCACAAAGAAAATATGCACGTACTGGTAACATGTAATGATTAATGGTTTTTTCCCACAGCTGCCGCAGGATCGGCATAAAAGCAACTATAGTGTCCCCGTGAAAAAAAACATACAAGGTGTCAATATATGCAATTATAATCAATTGTACAAGTATTTACATTTAAGTAATCAAACACAAAAAGACCGCTATATATCACTACTCTTTCATATACAAATGAGCATGAACTAAAAGATAATTTCTGCATATCAAACAAACTGTATATGATGCAAAAAATGTAAATATCTATATGCACATAAAAATGGTTACACACATATATACATTACATTACATTACATCACATCACATCACATCACATCACATCACATCACATCACATCACATTACATTACATTACATACATCCATGCATCCATGCAAACATGCATACATACATTACATACATACATACATACATACATACATACATGCATGCATGCATGCATGCATGCATGCATGCATCCATGCATCCATGCATCCATGCATCCATGCATCCATGCATCCATGCATCCATCCATGCATCCACGCATCCATGCATCCATGCATCCATGCATCCATGCATCCATGCATCCATGCATCCATGCATCCATGCATCCATGCATCCATGCATACATGCATACATGCATGCATGCATACATACATACGTACGTACATACATACATACATACACACACAGACAGACAGACAGACAGACAGACAGACAGACAGACATACAGGCATACATACATACATACATATGGACAAAAGTTGCGCTTGTTGAGCTTCCCACAGTGAACATGTTTGGTTTCTTCTTCTGCACACCCTTTCCCCATAGAATCCGGGCATGGAGCTTTGTCGTACCCCGTCGCATTTCCACCCTCCAAAAGCTTTAAACTCTTATATATATATATTTAAAAAAGGGTGATAATTGACCGTCCCACACCTGGCACACAAAACGGACTTGAAGATGTGATCCGCAGTTGACCGAAATGGATGTTTTGCAAAGCTTCCAAGAAGCATAAACTTTGTTCCTTCTGAAGTATATATATTATATAGTATAATATTACAGTATATCCATCTCTTAGAAGACTGGGTATATCACCCACCGAGTTTCTCAATATCTCTTCTGCAACAGCGGCCCCGACATGGCACCTTCCGCTCTTCAATTCCTTCAGTCGTTCCGAAAATGGCTTTGTTGCTGAACCTTGGCACGCCATCATAACATGGACTGAGTATCCCAATTCCAATGTGCTGGAAGATGGTTGAATATCTGTGCTCCAACCCAAAACTGTCACACACGCTTTCTATTGTGGAAGTCATGCGAGTCATGGACGCAGTACAAATCTGCGTCTATGTCATGCAATCCACCATGTATCCGATCCAAACGGTAATAGAAGAGCCATTTCACAACCATCATTTGACGGGTTGTCTCTCTCCATCGACGTGTTCTGTCCATGCGTTTTGCGGCTGGTTTCCTTGGATGGAAAATCATGCGTACTTAAAGTCACCAAACGGGTTGGCACAGACGCACATGCTTTCTCTTTGGAATATATATATATGTGTGTACATACATGGTTCTAGTTCTGGCAATGATACCCATGCATCAACCAACTTTGGGATCTGTTGATATCTGTTGGGGAGGTTCCTTACCCATCTACAGATGTGGAAAAGTGTAAACATTTGCGGGGCTTGGTTGTTGTTGCCTTGCAGCAACTTACCATGGCAAATTGCCAATCCCTCACTTCTAATTCCATCCCAATTATACCCATCTCTGACCGCGGTACATCCCCCATTTCATTTGGAAATTCTAATCCGGAATTGGTATATAATGGTATATATGATTTAGAGATGGATATGTAGTTGGGGTATCATATGCCATAATATACCCATCTCCAAAGATAAAGATAGCGGCTGTCCATATCTGTCCATGGTCATCTTCGGCAAAAACAGCGAGCTCCGGGCTCCGCACTCGGCTTCCGCCAGCTCTGTAGCCATGGCAGCAATCTCATCAAACTCCTGAAGAAACAATGCCACGATGCACGACGTGTCGTGGTTAAAGGGGCGGTTTCGCTGTCAAAATAGTGTGGTTCAAGAATGTTCAATAAATGAAATGCAATTGAAATGCAAGTAACATGGGTTTACCCTTATAAATCTTGCAAATACATAACTAAAAATATTGCTTCAATCATTCAACATCGAAGACAAGTGAATGCAGTGAAATCATCCGAATTCCTATAGTGGATATTCACTGAATTATCGTGATGAGCAAATTGCAATACCCCCCGTTTTCTGACATGGACAAATAACAGTGTTTGTGGAGGAATAATGTTACACTACTTGAAGAATGTTACACCCATCAAAATATCCAAATCCAACTGGGGTCCCGCTTGAAGTTTGCGACTTTGCAAATATTTCTGTACTTCTTGTGTGTTTCTTTTGGATATATATTTCCCCACCTGCCAGGTGAGGGTTGTTAGATTTTATCAGAGCTGTTCTCCTCATCCTCCTCCTCCTTCTCCGCCTCCTCCTCCTCTTCCTCCTCCTCCTCCGCCTCCTCCTCTTCCTCCTCCTCCAGTTTCTCCTCGACCATGTCTGCATCAACTTCCACGTCCACTTCCGCCTTGCCAACTCGTCGCCAATCTCTTCGCCAACTTCCGCGCGCAGTGGGCACTGCTGGACCTCAACTGCTGGCTTCCGATCTGAGTGGGCACGGCTGGACCTCAACCGCCAGGTTCTGAGCGCAGTGGGCACCGCTGGACCTCAACCGCCAGGTTCTGAGCGCAGTGGGCACCGCTGGACCTCAACTGCCGGCTTCCGAGCCCAGTGGGCACCGCTGGAACTCAACCTGGGACCTTCAGAGCTCAGTGGGCACCGCTGGACCTCAACCTGGGACCTTCCGAGCTCAGTGGGCACCGCTGGACCTCAACGGCCAGATAGAATGCCAGAAGATATGCCAGATAGAACGCCAGATAGAATGTCAGAAAGAATGCCAGAAGATATACCAGATAAAATGCCAGAAGATATGCCAGATAGAATGCCAGAAGATATGGCAGATAGAGTGCGGGAAGATATGCCATAACATATGCCAGGTAGAATGCCAGAAGATATGCCAGATAGAATGCCAGAAGATGTGCCAGATAAAATGCCAGAAGATTTGCCAGATAGAATGCCAGATAGGATGTCAGAAGATATGCCAGAAGATATGCCAGATAAAGTGCCAGAATGTTTGCCAGATAGAATGCCAGAAGATTTGCCAGATAGAATGCCAGATAGAATGTCAGAAGATATGCCAGAAGATTTGCCAGATAGAATGCCAGATAGGATGTCAGAAGATATGCCAGAAGATATGCCAATATATGCCAGATAGAATGTCAGATAGAATGCCAAAAGGTATGCCAGATAAAGTGCCAGATAAAGTGCCAGAATGTTTGCCAGATAGAATTCCAGAAGATTTGCCAGATAGAATGCCAGATAGAATGTCAGAAGATATGCCAGAAGATATGCCAGATAGAGTGCCAGAAGATATGAGAACATATCGCAGAAGATATGCCAGGTAGAATGCCAGAAGATATGCCAGATAGAATGCCAGAAGATATGCCAGATAAAATGCCAGAAGATATGTCAGATAGAATGCCGGAAGATTTGCCAGTAACAAAATGTATAAATCTCATGGTGGGGAAAACTCGAAGTAAAGTAATTTCTTTTTATATGTATATGTCGCTGGAATGCGTAAAGTTCACTGGCAAGTATATAAGACATTGTTTATCCCCGTGTGTTAAAAATATAGGTGAAGTCAGCTGGCCCCAACTCAGTTGCCTAGCTGCGATATCCCAGTCACAACTTGAATGTATCGCAGGGTTCGAGTTTCATCAGGCAGAGCAAGAATCGCGTTTTTCCACTCAATTCGGCGCGCACGGCGACAGAGTGGGCTGCTCCGGTCAGACACTTCCGGACTGCATGGGCCCATTGGGTGTGTCCCAGAAATGGATCGCAGAACATGATCGAAATCTGAGGGTAATCCCTTCTGCCGAATATTGAACATCCCCAGAAACTCCATTAAGGTGGTGCTTAATATTAGGGGGACAGGATTATTGGGGTCATCAATCTTGCCCCTTCCAAGCACTGAACAGCAGTAGCTTTTAATCTAAACCGTCCATTGGCGCACAAGGGGCACAACCTGAAGTAGTGGGTAAATGACAATATGATACCCACCAACTTGTGTCCATCACTGAAAAGCAATCCCGAAACCATTGGTCAACCCCTCCATCTTGTTGGTAAAACCACCATTTACGCCGTTATTTTCGATGGTAAAAATCAAAACGTGTCGTGTACCAATGTTCCTTCCACAGGAACAAAATATAACAAAATGTTCACTACCAGAGGATACATCCATTAATATCCCAGTATTATACCATCATTATCCCTAATTATCCCTATTATTCACCATATTAAATACAACTTCACCTCCCGTTTGTTTTTTTATTGGTGCACACCACATCTGTTCAGTTTCGACATGATCAGTTCCCGACTTTCAGCCGCTTGCTGCGCGCCACTGGCGCCACCACATAGCTTCCATCCAGGCCACCACCTTGGATCAGCGTCGGCTTTTCGGGTGGGTCATGGTGGGTCTAACTCTTCAACCCCTGAGGAACTTGATAGCTATCTGTTAGAATGTGTGAAACCCAATTAAACCATCCGCAAAATCACATTTTTTTTATGCGTATAAACAATCCCAAATGGTGAGTTTATTATTTGGCTTACCACATTGCAAACTTAACAAATGTAGGAGCATTTAGGCAATTAATGATTTCTTGTTGACATGTAGAACCATTTCCAATAATCATTGTTGATCATTCCTGTAATCTTCCGAATGGTAGTAAAAAGATCAACTTATATCATATTTTAATGTCTATGTATCTATCTATCTACCTACCTACCTATCTATCTATCTATCTGTCTGTCTATCTATCTATCTACCTATCTATCGATCTATCGATCTATCTATCTATCTATCTGACATTATCTGTCATTATCTATCATTATCTATCATTATCTATCATTATCTATCATTATCTATCATTATCTATCATTTTCTACCATTATCTATCTATCATTATCTATCATTATCTATCATTTTCTATCGTTATCTATCGTTATCTATCGTTATCTATCATTATCTATCATTATCTATCATTATCTATCATTATCTATCATCATCTATCATTATCTATCATTATCTATCATTATCTATCATTATCTATCATTATCTGTCATTATCTATCATTATCTATCATCATCTATCACTATCTATCATTATCTATCATTATATCTCATTATCTATCATTATCTATCATGATCTATCATTATCTATCATTATCTATCATTATCTATCATTTTCTATCATTTTCTATCATGTTCTATCATTATCTATCATTTTCTATCATTATCTATCATTATCTATCATTTTCTATCATGTTCTATCATTTTCTATCATTTTCTATCATTTTCTATCATTTTCTATCATTTTCTATCATGTTCTATCATGTTCTATCATGTTGTATCATGTTCTATAAGTTCTATCATTTTCTATCATTTTCTATCAATCATTTTCTATCTATCATTTTCTATCTATCACGTTCTATCTATATGTTTCTATCTATCTATATTTGTCTATCTATCTATATTTTTCTATCTATCTATATTTTTCTATCTATATTTTTCTATCTATCTATCTATCTATCTATCTTCCTTTCTTTACCTATCTTTATCTATCTTTCTACCTATCTGATCTTTCTATATCTATCTTCATCTTATCTATCTATCTTTATCTATCTTTACCAACCTTTATCTATATTTATCTATATTTATCTATCTTTATCTATTTTTATCTTTCTTTATCTATCTTTATCTATTTTTATCTATGTATCTATTTATCTATCGATCGATCCATCCATCCATCCATTTATCTATCTATCTCTCCGTCCGTCCGTCCGTCCGTCCATCCATCCACACCGCTATTTATTCGTGGCTTTTTGCGATTTTAGTCCATAATCATTACCTTTCTATTTTTTTCGGTGCTTACAGTATATGTTCAAGCCATGTCTGGCTGATGTCCGATGCTCCCTTGTGAAGATCCACTGGATGAATCCACTTCGAGGATTCCAACTAGATTAGTGCTAGTAGTGCGAGCTGAAGGCAAACCACTAGAATGGCCCCTTGACAAGAACACAAAGCAACAACCAACGCAACATAATAAACATTAAATAACAATGACACTAATCCAATAACTAGAGCCCAATATTCCAAAACAGTCTGAACATGGAGCGAACCCTTGGTTTAATACAGGTGTTCGAACACAAAAGTGGACAAACAAAAACAGCTGTCAGCATCTGCCAAGCTGCTCAAACTAGCAAGCGACACCTGAAAAACGGTGCTGCCCTAGTCTGGTCAAATGGGCTTTGATGACATCCGTCCAAGACAAAACCACCATCACTCCAGGGCAAAGCTGGACCCCAACAAAGCGTTTTCTGCTTGCAAAGTTGTAACAAGAACATCATGCGCACCCACGGTACGTATCTCAAACAAATTTCTGCGGAAGCCAGCGGCATCGTACAACTATGAGTCTCCTACTTCCGGTCCAAAACATCAAGTGATGAATATGGTTTACAAAGATCGAGGGCCAAACTACCACGCAACACACATGCCATGGGAATATCGGTGCTTTGATCATGTGGTCAATCAGATTGGGGGTGAGATGACCGACTCCCGTGTGGCAGAAAGCATATCCGAAACCTGTACTCAATGGGTAATGGTAGGTAGCTCGTATTCCCGTTCTTGTCAGTTATGCGAGCACCAGGTTATACTCCTAGGCTCTATATAGGGCCTCAACTTCCCCTTTTTGATTGGCATACGGTATGCCATGGTATGCCCAAATTCCTGGTACTTTGGCCTATTCATAACCTAAAGAAATTGTGGAGGTTGCGGATCAACATCATCATTTTAGTTTTCAACTCATCCAAAGACACAATCCGCTTCAGCCTTCTCGCGCCCCTAGCCTTCTCTTCAGTTGGTGCTTCAGGTTCTGCTGGCTTCCCTGAGGCCATGCTGGTGCGTTCGAACGCTATTCATGTGCCGTCCCAAACACACGTCGTGTTGCCTGTGGAGGTCACCGGCTCGGCCACGCCGGTGAAGTCCTCGTCGGCCTCTTCGGCTTCGCCGCGGCGCACGCTTTCCAGGACCTGGGAAAGTGAGGACAAAACGTTGGAAAATGTTGGAAAATGATGGAGAATATTTGGGGAAAAAAGGGGAAACCATGATTTTTATTCAGTTTGAATGTTTCCAAAGTGTTTTGTGATTTCAAACAGGATCAAGAACCAACATAGGGAGTTGACAAAACAACAATGTGGCAACAACAAAATTACTTTACTTCGTGTGATCCCCACCATGACATTTATACATGTTCTTACTGGCACATCTTCTGGCATTCTATCTGACATATCTTCTGACATTCCATTTGGCATTCTATCTGGCATATCTTCTGGCATATCTTCTGGCATTCTATCTGGCAAATCTTCTGGCATTCTATCTGGCATATCTTCTGGCATTCTATCTGACATATCTTCTGGCATTCTATCTGGCATTCTATCTGGCATTCTATCTGGCATATCTTCTGGCTGGCATATCTATCTGGCATATCTTCTGGCATATCTTCTGGAATATCTTCTGGCATATCTATCTGGCATATCTTCTGGCATATTTTCTGGCATTCTACCTGGCAAATCTTCTGGCACTCTATCTGACATTTTATCTTCCTACATGAGGTCCGGCAGGGAACACTTGGCGTGGATACTCGCGGTTGAGGTCCGGCAGGGAACAGGGAACACTGGGCGTGGATGGTCGTGGTTGAGGTCCGGCAGGGAACACTGGGCGTGGATGGTCGTGGTTGAGGTCCGGCAGGGAACACTGGGCGTGGATGGTCGTGGTTGAGGTCCGGCAGAGAACACTGTGGATCGCGGGTCGCAGTTGGACGAGGACGACGCGGACGACGAGGACGACGAGGACGACAAGGACGACAAGGATGACAAGGAGGACGAGGAGGACGAGGAGGAGAGGAGGAGGAGGAGGAGGACGAGGCAGGAGGAGGCAACTGACATAAAATCTAACAACCCTCACCTGGCAGGTGGGGAAAAAGGGTTGCAAACGACACCAAACGACCATGCAAACATGTTGCAACGGCTACGCCACCAGCAACCAATCATGAGGCAAAATTGGCCACACGACCACTCTACGCAGCGCCTGCTTTAGAAGTTGAAGTTGTGACTCTTTGCTCGAGTAGATCAAGTTCCTCAGTCATCGTAAAGCGCTCACAGGGACCGCCTGGGAAAAATGGACATGTTCGGCCCTCCAGTCGCTTACAAACGGCCCCCGGTTTGAATTGCAGAGTGTCTTTCACCGGGCTTATCCTTGTTTATCTATATGAAGGAAAATCTGCCAGGGAACCCTTTTGGATCTTTTGGTGTGATTGGGTTCCTGTACAAGGTAGTGCCCCTCGGTTATAAGTGGGTCTATAAGCCCCATCAACTAGTTCGATACATCAACTACAAACCCAGCTGAGCTAACGACCTGGGGGAAACATTTTTAATACTTAAGTCCCTTCTGTTTTATCCCATTATGATCCATTATGCACTTATATGTCTCCCTACATGATAGGGAGCACTACATAGCACTACCATATGCACGTCTGCAACATTTCCGAAGGCCGAGACACTGCTGGTCGAGGCGGGAAAGCCGATGATCACGGACCACCTGTTCCGGTTATTGGTAAACTCCAGTAGATTTGCACTTTCCATGGGGATGAAACATGATTAAACCACATCTTTGGGACCGTAATGAGGGGTGTTAATTAATAAATGGGGGAGGGGAATATAATGGAATTAATATATGCAACAACAAAACGTATCGCAGATAGAAGAAATTTTGATGCAATTTGGCACATCTCGACCCAGAATTACACCATTACTGTGTTTAGATCGGATAATGGACTTCTCCATCAAAACTTCCCCAAATATCAAGTCATTCACCGATAAATTATTCACTTTGGTGGGGATTTCACGCGTAGCTGGTTGTCTCTACTGCTGTCACACAGCATTAAAGTCAAAGGCAGGAAAAACAAATCACCGCTATTCACCATTCTTCACCATTAACATCCATTAAGATCCATTAACATCCATTAACCTCCACTAAGCACGAGGATTCCGTGGGCCCCGGCCTGATAGTTGTAGCCTTGCTCCACCAGGAACTGCTGTCGCCGATTGGCGTGGTACAACTCCTGGGTGTCACGACTCACCACGGAGTAGAAGAAGGCCTGGGCCGCTTGGCGACCGAATCTCTTGGGAAACGTCGCGTCAAAACTCAGAACTTGCGATGATTTGCCATGTGCAATTGGATACTTGGTATATATCTATTACGGTGTATATCTGTGATATCTATAGTCCCCGACTTACAGTGCGATCTCACATACTCCAGGTAGTGGTGGTTTATCCTTTGCAGTCCATCTCCTGACGGTGCAGCTACTCTCTGATCATTTTGAAGTATTATTCATGTCTTCCCTCTGGTAATTTAACATAGCTATTGAACATACATGAAAACACACCGTTTGTAGCTGATTTACCTATTCAAAATGGTGATTCTCTATAGCTATGTTAGTTTACCAGTCCATTGTATCCTCAAACATCACCTTTGTAATATTGACTGGAACCTGGGCGGCACCATGCTGGCGCCATTATCGGATACCCCCAAATGATTTTTCAAATGTGATAAAGCCAATGCCATAAACCTACCATTTGGGGATGATACCTACCACCCGTTTCTGATATATATATATATATATGGTGCTATATATACATATATATATATATAAATATGATTGGGTTTACCACATTGTATCGAAATCATATATCTATCTATCTACCTACCTACCTATCTATCTATCCATCTATCTATCTATCCATCTATCCATCTATCCATCTATCCATCTATCCATCTATCCATCTATCCATCTATCCATCTATCCATCTATCCTCTATCCATCTATCCATCTATCCATCTATCCATCTATCCATCTATCCATCTATCCATCTATCCATCTATCCATCTATCCATCTAATCCATCCATCCATCTATCCATCTATCCATCTATCCATCTATCCATCTATCCATCTATCCATCTATCCATCTATCCATCTATCCATCTATCCATCTATCTATCTATCCATCTATCCATCTATCCATCTATCCATCTATCCATCTATCCATCTATCCATCTATCCATCTATCTATCCCATCTATCCATCTATCCATCTATCCATCTATCTATCTATCTATCTATCTATCCATCTATCTATCTATCTAACTTATGTTATCTATCTATATAAATATATCACAGTATATCATCATAAAGCCATGTTTTTCCTAAGGGCGTATGGCCTAAAACATATTATTTATATTCCGCCGAGCCACGTTGAATCCTCCCGCACTGCACTGGGCCTGCGGCTTGGGACGCAAGATGCGGCCCAGGCGCTGGGCTTCTTGCCTGGGGACGTGGGAACCGGAGATGGTAAGAAAGTAACCTCCTTTCATAGGGCAGAAGAATGTCCTAAATTCCCACTAAAAAATGGTGATGAATGATTTAATATGTGACTTTTTCTATCTGGTTATGGTTGATTTATGGGATCATTTAAGGGAAAATCTAAAGGAAACCATGGGATTTGACCAAGTAGCAAGCTGAATCCTCAATGTGCCCCGAAGATGATGTTTGAACCCAATAATGAAAGGGTCCGGAATTGTTTTGGGAATTATGTTTTTTCCGTTTTGGATTCTTTTTTGGGATCCGTATTTTCTGCACGTTTTCCTTGCTATTTGCAGCATTTTGGAGCTGGAAGCTGCCATGCCAACTGTCTTTGCAAAATTTTGGAGTTGGAACCTGTCACTTTCCATAGAATTTGCAGCAACTTTTTGGTGGAGTTTGTAAAATTTTGGAGCTGGAAGCTGCTGTGTCAACGGTATTTGCAGCATTTTTGAGTTCGAACTGTTTATTTAAGATGGTAGTTTGCAACTAGGGTTCATTTCGGGTTGGTTTTAGGGTTAGTTTAGGGGTTTTGTTTGGTTTTAAGTTGTTTAAGGGTTGGTTTTAGAGTTAGGGTTTATTTATGTTCTTTTAAAGGGTTAGTTTAGGACCTTTTTAGGGTTTGTTTTAGGTTTTATTTAGGCGTGGTTTAAAATCTATTTGTGGTTGGTTTAGGACCTATTTAGGCTTGGTTTAGGATCTATTTAGGCATGGTTTAAAATATACTTAGGGTCCGTTTGCCGTTTATTTAGGCTTGGGTGGGCATCTATTTGGGGCTGGTGTGTTTAGGGTTTATCCAGGCTTGGTTTAGGATCTATCTAAAGTTGGTTTAGGACCTATTCAGGATTGGTTTAAGGTGTGTTTAGCGCTGGTTTAAGATTTATTTAGGTCTGGTTCAAGATCTATTTAGGGCTGGTGTAAGGTTTATTTAGGATTAGTGTCAAATTTATTTAGGGAGTGTTTCGGGTTTACCTTAGAGTTGCTTTAGTGTTTCTTTGGTTGGTTTTGGGTTCATTTCTGGTTGATGATATAGAGTTTATTTATAATTATGATGTTTCTTAAAGATTATCTGCAGTATGAGACACAAAAAAAGAGGGAAAAACAGAGAAGCAGAAAAGCAGAGACTCTGGAAAAGCAGAAAAGCAGGGAAAAGCAGAAAAGCAGGGAAAAGTAGGGAAAAGCATTGAAAAGCAGAAAAGCAGAGAAGCAGAGAAGCTGGAAAAGCAGAAAAGCAGGGAAAAGCAGAAAAGCAACAAGCAGAAAAGAAAAGTAAAGAAGCAGGGAAACCGAAATCAAAAAAAATGCCCAAAACAAAAACAAATAGATCCCCCAAAACCAAGCCCTCCATAATAAACCAATTAATATGTAGTTGTCTGATAAAGATTTGATTCCCTTGTTGATACGCAACCTTTCCAGGGATGTGGAATATTCTGAAAAAATACGGATGTTAACATACAATTAATATGGGATTCAAGCACTACCTAAATACCAAGCCAAGAATGATCAAACATTCAAAACAACATGGTTTTGCCTCATAAAAAGAACACCTCTCCAGTTCCACAGGACCCTTCCTGAACTGTCCATGAGCTGAGCCCAATAACCTGCGGGTTGCTTCCAACATAACACAACAACCAATGCAGCTCGAACACCGTCGGGATCCATAATGCGATGAGATCTGGACGATCACATTGGCCTTAGCTTTCAGGAATACGTTCCGGTGATGGATATCTTCTAATTTCTCACGCAGGAAAGGATAAAAAATTCTGAAAAAATCTGGCAATAAATGTGGAAAATGGACTGGGCATCCCATGGCGACTGTGTTTTACGCGGTCCAAGTCGCCACTGGCAGATCTATGGCATTGTCACCCACCTCGATCCGACGATCCGACCCATCCTAACCCGTTCCCCCCAAAAATGAAAAAATATATAGTATAGTTATATATATATAGTTATAATTATATAGTTATATAGTTATATATATATAGTTATATAGTTACATATATAGTGATAGTTATATAGTTATATAATATATATTTGTAAATTATAGGATCCTCCTCATCCTCCTCCGATGCGTAAGGATGTTTTGATTATATAGTTATATAATTAAGTCAAGTGAAAGCATCCACTGAAGTGCTTGATCTCCCCAACCACCGTCTTTGGCACCAATGGACTGCCAAACTGGGTCATATTTTTCATAGTCAAAACACAATGCATTGAGGGATGGTCAAATATTAAATTACAAAAATAACGTTGTATACACCAGAACTCCGGGAAAATTCATGATGATTCTGAAATTGGACATGAGCCATTTCTGCTACAGTATGTTCTAGTAGACTTCAGAGATTTGCTGCCCATCAGCAGCCACCAACTTTTCACAGCGCGCACCTTGGACAGGAAAATGGTGTTGCAGGCAGCACTCTCCTGGAACTCGCTGAGGATCTGCCTGGTGTTGTCCGGATGTTGATTCTTGGGATGATGATTTTGATGATGGTTTAGTATGCATGCATATTCATGGTACATTAATTAAATAGCAGGATGAAACCCGAAACCTGATTTGCTGCGCAATCATCGTTGGGTCGGCAAGCCCTGACCTTTACCACCACTGAGCTCGTGACATTCTCTCACGCAAATTCACCTGGTAGGGTCGTGGTGCATGACAGGGGTGTGTCCAAGATGGGCCGGACCCCATCAGACACAAAGGAACATCTGATGTAAATCTCAAAGATCCAAAATGCTGGGAAAGAGGCCAGTTTTCTGGACATGGGAATCATCCCGAACTTGCTGGAACCATCCCAAAAACAAGTTGCGCTATATTTGTGTACAGCTCACATCATCTTGGCTTGCAGCACTCTAGGGAGCTGCCATGCCAAGGGGCACTGCCGCAAATGTAGTATCGGCCCAGTTTTCGGGCAAATTCTTTCCTGCACCAGCTACGGGAACTGTGAAAATGATTGAACCCCTAGAGCTCAAGGCATGAAAACCCGGAAAAAGAACCATGAAGTGAACTTTCTCAATGTTCAAAAGAATATAACAGAATTGGACCCAATGAGAAGTCAAGTCACAGGATGAAGATGTTGTCGCTGAAAACAATGATCTTATCTCCACGTTCTTCGTGGTGGCGGATCAAGAACCTTGGTTGTGAGCTGTGCAGTCGACAGGGGCGTGATGGATCCCGGCCCGACCCGGCTGAGGTTTGGACTCACAAGTCTTCAGCTTGTTGGGATTACATGTCCACAGGGATCGCTGAAGGGTCGCGCGCATGGAACCTGTCGGTCGCCATGGCAAAAGGACAGCCAAATCACGGGAAAAACAGTGATAAGTCAACTTCAATGTCATTTTTTTCAAACTGATTGGAACTTTAGCGCTTCAGCATTTTCGCACCACTATCCAAACTAGATGTGTGTGCATATGTATCTATAGTGGCCGTGGCCCACCTTGCCTGGCACGTCGTCACTGTCTTGAGCTTGTAAATACCTCGCATTTTCCGCTGCTGGACACAGTAAACCTGCTACAGCCATGTCATTCCATGATTTTTTCCTCAGTGCAAAGGTTATGAGACTATAGTCCAGATTAAAGGCCAGCAGCCTTAGATTATATAATATGATGTAAGTATAAATGTATTATAATTATAATGTACTGTATTATGCAAATAACATGTGTTTGTCTGTGATTCCATAGTGTTGCCAGATTTGAATTTGCACAGGCTAGTTGGCTATTTGACTGGTACTGACTGGCAAGCAGGCTTTATGCGGGAATATCGCGTGCATTTATACGAGAGCAAATGGGAGAACATATGAGGGGGAGCAACAAAAACTGAAGGTGGTGCAGCATTGTCATGTTATGTATACAGCCCCTCAACTTGTTTCCAAACGCAAGCGTTTGATGATCAAAAATCACCACAACATCTCTCCAACCATTAAAGGCTAGGCCAGGCTTACACAACAAACGTGGCAAATCAACATACTTCAGCCTAAGGTTTGGAGGCTTTGGAGGCCGAGGCGTCAACGCCGCAGTCACATCAGTCACAGGGCTCAATAAAGAACTCCTCGGACATATCGCACCAAACTTCAATACAGCGCACGCGAGCCAGGTAGCCATCCTCCTGGCGTATCATTTTTGATGATGGGAGTAGTACCTGTACAGCCCAAGGTGTGGAGTATGGAATATTCACAGTCAATTTGTCGTGGAATATTTATATAGTTACCTGTATCTCTGGCTCTCTTTCGGGCGTGACTGCCCGCTTGATTTATTCTCAGTTGACTTGTATCTATCGTCTATGGAGTATTTCTTCTCCGAGAGTTTAGCCAGGTGCTAATGGATGATTTCACTGTTATCTTCATTCTTTACTGCTAAAATTTCCGTATCTTCCTCACCTTGGCGGAATATTTACCTATTATATTCCATACATTTCCATACATATTCCTTGTAGATCCTTGTAGGAAATACATCCAATCTTCACCGAAGTTGTGTGGCAAACCCTTGGAAATCGACGTTGAGCACTGAAGCCAACGTACCGGGATCATGGATGATCCATGGAGTCTCCACCGAAGAGTTATTAAAAAAACAGCCCAGTTGAGAAGTGGGAACCCTCCGGTGAAAATGCCCTCATGTAGAGCTAAAACATAGGAAATACTCATCAAACATATTGAAGAACAGGTGATTTGCCAATTTACTTCAATGATTTGCGCATTCAACGTGGTGATTTTGCATCTGTGAAATTACCGGAAGATAGTGCTCATGGTTCCAACCCAGCCACATTTGCAGTTGTGGAAGATGATTAACATCCAGGTAGTAACTAGGATTATCATCTCAGTGCCTCCCCTCTGTTCCAGCACCAAATGCACCTGGAGCTGTTGCCAATTGGCTTCATAGAGTTTGGGACCAATGAGCCTTGGTGGTCTGTGGCACATTCCCATTCAAACTCAAGTCGGTGGGGTGTGGATATGTTTCCTCAATCCGCTAAACCAAGCATATGACCGAATAAAACGCCATAAACAAATTTAGTTTGCTCATTTTGTTCAAACATGCTCAGACTCCCCAAAAATAAACACTATAAACAACACTTCTCCTGTGCCCAACCGAACGCCCAAATGACCCTTACGCTCGAGATATGAGAGGTTTGCGTTAAACAAAATCAAGATCATTTCGTGTTCCAGGTAAGCATACGGGTTATTCAACATTATCAGTGACATATATAGGACACATTGAAACAAAATTGCCAAAATCATCCTATCAGCTACCATTTTGATTGGTTATACCCGATAATTCAAGCGGCTAAAACACCCAACAGCCAAAACATCTAAATATCTCACCCATTGTATCACGTGACGGTTCGGTTTTACAAGCTCATTTGTTGGGCTTATATCCCACCAACATCATCCATGTATACATATATATATATATACATATATACATATACATATTGTATGTCCCCATGGATTAAAATGCCTTCTTGAATGGCACTTGACCCCCCAAATCCTACCTTCCTCAGAAGCTATTTGAACCCAATCCGGGAGCAACCATTCACACAAATTCCGAACGCCTCCCCCTACTAGGGCTACTAGACCCTCTGATCATCGAACATAGCTATGGCAATCACCATCTTTTATAGGGAATCATGTGCAGACGGGCAATGTTCCATAACAATAGCTATTCCATGACAATTTTCCATAACAATCATAATAATAATAATCTTACATTACCAGAGGCTAGCCATAGCTCCGCCATTACCGAGCGACCAATGGAGATCTTGGATGAGGTCATCTTCCCGTACCAAGGTGGCCGTCAAGCCCAGGCAGCAGTGCGACTTGATGGTGGTGGCCACCGTTCCTCAAGATTGAACTCGGAAAAAATTGGGATATCATGGCTTTTTTAATTGGTTTTTATGGTAGATTTATGGTATATTTATGGTTTGACCAACAAACCATTGGAGCATTATTGCCCTCTATATAACTTGCTAATTTACTTAACACTTACAAAAAAACTGGTTGAGGTGTCAGCCCTTCTCAAGACTGTGAAGTCAGTTGTCCTTTGTGCTGGGTAACAAAATAAAACGCAAGTAAAACCACCAATCAGTCTTGGATGCCCTAGATGCTATCTGTAGAAGAATTGTTTTCGCTGGGCAGGTGTTAATATGCTCCCATCAAGATGAGAAACATGAGAAAACATACTCAAATCTGAGCAACCACAGTTTACCATACGTACTTTTGACCAAATTAATGTTGAGGTGAGTAGACAACAAATTTTCGCCGAATAAGTATATAATCGTCACACCGATCCCACACACATCATACTTGTGAGTGACCAAATTTGCTAACTTCTGGGATCAACCTATTTCCAGCACCACCGGTTTAAATATGTTTAGCATGCTTTAGTCCATCCCCATTCTTGCCATATATCGCGGCTTCTCAAACTTATATGTTTATGAAGATCTATTAGTATTGCCTACCTCCATTCTGAATTTATTCTTGGTTTCTTCTAAAATCCAATTGTTCCGAATCTTTCGGAGCGCTTTCCATCATGACATGCTGTCATGCAGTCATGCTTCGAAAAGTCCGCGCGGGCATCACCTGCACCTCATCCACCACCAACAGGCCCCATTCCAGCTGTTGCAGTTGATCCAAGATGAACCTCAAGAGGCGCAGTAAAAAAAGGGACGACAAAAATCCCAGCGGCGTTCTGTAGACATTTCAGGTACATGTATATCAATGGTACGGCCATGGCATTGGGATATGTCGCCAAAAATGAATGCACACACACTCATGTATATCCAATATAGTGTATATATACGTATTCGCTTGCCAAACAAAGCAGCATAAATACACATGCAAACATACACAATATCACACCATACAGCATATATTCTCTCTCCCTCTCTCTCTCTCTATACTACAACACACCATACACTCTGTCCTCTATGTACCAGTACCATTATTATCATTATTGTAGAACATGAATAAAGTATAACAAAGTCCTGTGATACAACTCAAAGCTGTTACCCCCAGTGATCAGGACCCCAACTGGTCCAAGGAGTCCAAGGCGCGCTGTGTCACCACCACGTCGTCCCGTGAAACCCAACATGCTGTAGGTCGAGATCACGATGCAGGCGCGACGTTCCGCATCTTCGATGGGACGTTTCTGATCCGCCGTGAAGATATAAACATCTTCCTGGAGCTGGTTTTTGCTTGGAAACTCCCCAGCAAAAATGAACGTTTTAATGGGAATCCGTGGAAAATATGGGGTGGGGGAACATCATCTAAAAAAATTATATAAATGATTATATAACACATTATAACATATTATAACTGGAGATTTTCCATGATTACCCGGTGAGGTTCCTAACCAGTTATGGATTACTCCATGGGCCAAGTTGTAGTTCTCCAATCGGAAATCATCTGAAACAGAAAATTCCTCATGAGCTGGTGGTACACAGTGACCATGATGAACATTGGATCTATCTACAGCCTTTCTTTCAACATCAAAAATATTCATTGGACCCAAATGGACCCAGCAAATTGAAACCCAGAAGTATTTTCTGGAAAAAGAGTACTGACCCGTTCAAACATCACCGGCAATGGCATGGCAAATGCACCGCAATCAGGGCCCAAAGACAGGTCCAAGATGGCCATGTATAATCATGTATCGTGTCAAATATGCGTAATGGCGTATGTTCTGAGTTACAGGAAATTTCCGTCGTTGCGTTTCAATGAGAGTAAACAATTTCCGGAGATTTCGCTCTTAGTACCTGGCAAATCTACCTAGTAGATCCTAGCAGGTATTTCCAGACTTCACGTCCATCAGCCCCCTTGTTGCCCCAGTACGGGGTGCATTGCAGGAATTGCAAGTGGGTAATCACCACATTACATCTGCATTTCTATAGAGAATGATGAGAACAACCCCCAAATCCCCCCAATCCCAGCAAGTGTAAGTGCTGGGTAATCCCCATATACACGTGTGTTAATGTTGCACTGTGCAGGAAATATCATTGAATCGTGGAATATATCCCAATATTTCCCTCTTGTATGTGTCTTGAACATATTATAGCTTCTAACAAGTTCCAACACACTCACCTGCCTCCCCACAATGTGGTGCCGCACTAATCGCTAAGTTGTAGTTATAAGCGGGTTACTGGGGTTACAATCCGACTTATAACTGGAGTGAACCACTTTACCACCATTTTTGTTGGTGAAATCCCCCGAAATGCGCTTCAACTGCCACCGGACCGGTGGCAACGTGGTGTAGAGCTGCAGTTGCCGACGCCACTGATCCACCGCCACCGCCGTGGTGGTCAGGACTAGGGCGCGGCGCCCCACGCGGCAGCAGGCGGCGATGCCGACCAGCGTCTTCCCAGCGCCGCAGGGTAGCACCACGATGCCGCTCTTGGCCACGTCGTCCATGGAGAACATCTTGGACAAGGCACCTGGAGATAAGATGAGAGGATAGGGATGATAGGGGCTAAACTGATGGGATGTTTGGGGGGTTCTTCGTTTTGGAGGGTTGTTATTGCAGATTTTGGGGCATTTGTGCAAAACACAACGTACCTATCAACGATGGTTGCCAACTCGAGGCAAATGCAAGGTGCAATCGGACTGCACTCTTTTCTATGGGCTGAGCTCACCTGACAGGATACATGTGTTTCCATGTGATGCAATGGTAACTTGAGGAATGGGTTTGCGCAATTTGGGTGGCTGTTGGTTTGAGTTGTTTTCCACATTGGCCTTTCCAGGTGTTTGATGTTGGACTGAGAAAACCAGGATTTTGGGGAAGCGTGGAAAATAACACTGGAAAGGGTGGGGAGGCTAGAAATTTGGTTTGGGGAAAAGGACCAGACGTGTGCAAGTGAAGCTAGGGAAGCAATACTGTGGCACAATTCAGCAAGGCCTTGATTTCAGGAGGCTTCACTATCAGAACTTGTTGTGGAGCTGGGGGCTGGTGTCTCAGACCTCCCTCCCACTCGCAAAAACATCCCACCTTGACAGTACACAGTTCGTTTGAACATGTTTGAACCCAAAGAGAATCCGATATAACTATATGAGATATTGTTCCGGAAGCCAACAACAGCTTCAAGGCACGTTGTTGGTATGGTCGAAGATTGACTGATGGTCGCAGCACGGCGGGAAGGTGTGGGTTTGTATCTTCGCGATCCCGGCGAAACTCGTACTCCTGAAGAAGAGGAAAGCCTCAACAGTGGTTCGCATCAATCAAGTGTCCCACCGGTCCATGGGTAGAAGAAATCTACACGTACGAAAAGGAGTCAGTCAAAACCTTTAGATATGGTCTTAGGCCAATTTCTGTCTGTGATGTAGATTTACAACACCTCATTGAAACTCATCGTCTGCTTGTTTGCCATTGCCATTGAGTCTGGCTGAATAAGAATGCCTTTAAACATGTTTCCAACCAGAACAGTTCGTCCACCTGGGTTCCCTACAACGATCATTTACAGTGAGAATGATATAATGATGTGGTCTTGGGTATACTTGTAACTCATCCAAAATTTTGGGTATCCGTCAAAAATCTGTTGGCCAACCTGCATGTATTAATTGGTCAAGCAATAATGGAGCTCGCCATCCCTGCAAATCCGTTGAATCCATTGTCATGTGTATATATATATATATGCACAGTTTTTTAAATAAATGCATATATATATAACTATATATAGTTATATATATATATATATATAACTATATATATATAGTTCCATATATATATGTATAACTATATATACGTATATATATATATATACACGGATTATCACGGTTTTTCCAAATTGTGTCTGCTGGCCATGTCTTGCTTCTATCTCAGCTTTCCAGGCGGGGATTGTTCTACAAGGTACCAGTCACAGTGCTTTTTTTTATGCCATTCGTTTTTTTTGTATGATCGATATGATCCATGGGGGTGTCTTAAAAATGGTGGATCCCTAAGTCACCATAGGTTGCAATACTCAACTGGTCTAATGACTTGGATGATGACTGGGGGCACCCCCATTTGTGTTTTTTTTTTAATCCCAAGCCTGACAGGCCATGATGGTCCCCAGATCCCCTTCATCTGGTTCACATCACCCACCAAAAACATTACGAAATACCAGCCATCCATTACAAACCACCCATCAACCAGCCATCAGCCATCGATGGTATCCCCATTTTGGATGATACCTCCCATCTCGTTTCATGACATCCCCATGGGTCAACAACGGTCAACGGTCGCTCCGCGCCTAATCTGTGCGCCGCGGATTTCAACTTCTCCACCTGGGTGGAGTCGACTTCTGCGGTTCTGTCGACGGCACCGGAGCTGACCAGGCATTCTACGACTTCGTCATGGCTACCTCATGGCAAATGGGCAAGATGGGGCAAAAGCACCAGGAAAAATGAGGGGGACATTTTCTCGAAATGATGGGAAAGTATGATGAGAAACGATGGGACATCAAATTAATTAATTACAGTAAAGCAATGTAAAGCATGTGACTCTTGAAAATGGAACTAAAGACGTGAGGGATTGCAGTGATTTGACGCAATTTTTGAGAGGCCTCTGCTAGAAGTTGAAGTTCAGAACATTTCAGAACTCCACTTCCGTCCAAGTTGGTTCCCGTCATGTTTTTTTTTATTTTGTAAAAACCCAAGAGGGCAATTCTCGATTTAGCCATGATCACCACTCATTCAACCATCCAAATCTACCCCGTCCATCCCAGTTTCATAGGTTTGCCCGAAAACACGGTAATCTCAAAATCATAAATCTCATGTTAAAAAACAAAAAACAATTGCATTGTTTGACAAATTCAGGAACCCATCTCAAACATATTCATCACTGGCGATCATGATCCTCAATAGGATGGACTATTCACACCTATTTGAAGCCATGAACCATCCAAAACTGCCTCATGTCCAATGATACCTTCCAAAAATTGTGCTAAACTCTTCAGTTTTTTTCTTCCCACACACCTTTTTGGCCCGGTCCAGGGGTCGAGGAATGAACTACGAAGAGGCAACATTTTATCCGGTTGGTGGCTTCAACAATGAAAACCATGCTTGTCAATGGGGATCAACATCCCATTTCCTGGATGGAAGATAAATACTATTTATTTCCCACCAACCAATTATGACTTAAGAAAACCCTTTAAATCTTTAATTATATATTCCCATGTTTGGTAAACTTCCCAGATCTTTGGCTCAAGATATAGCGCATAGCCCTCGACCCCACCCCTCTGACCGCGTTACAGAGATGCGTCAAAAGCGTGGCCTCTTCGGATTCCAAGAAGTGCCGTCCGTCGCGCAGCACCAGGTGTAGCTTGCCGGTGATGCGGCCCTTCTCGCGGATGAACTGGAGAAAGGAGTCCTGGGTGGCCACAACTTCCAGGATCTTCCAGGCGCGGTTTGAAGAAAACATCGAACATATTGACATTCCCCCCTCTCACCAGAACCTACATACTTTTGTTGTTATCTTTTTGTGTTTTTATGTCTTTTTTTGCTACAGTACCAGACTCAATATTGGGTTTATTGATTGGCACTTTTTGGATGACCGTTCATATTGAATGTTTTGGAATACAACCAGCCTTGTCGTATTGCTGTCATCACTTTCAATTGAATAAACTATGCATAGCTATGATATCTGATAAATATGATGATCACACATCACAGTCGCTCCATGCGACGCCTAGGAATCACGAGCGCTTTTTCACTGAAGGCACCAAACCACGCAGCTTATGCCTTCATGGCAGGATCTCAAGCCACTGGTGCTGGGATTCCCTGTCAACGCTCAACGGTCCCCAGCTGTGGGTCAATTGAACCTCTGTCACCATTATCTATTTGAGAAAAGTCACAGGTCTTCAAACCTGATTTTTATGGATATTTCATGATATTTTTGGATTCACATTGGATTCCTCTCGCTTCAAACACGTCCACGTCCCGTCCAGGTGACGTCGATGGCGTTCTTCGACAATTTTACCAAGATCTTGATGATCTGTTCCACGCTGATTCCGTTGGCAATGGCCGCGGTCAAGGACAGGGATGTGATCTGATATTCCTCGGGCCCATGGGTGAAGGTTAAAGAGGTTGGCTTCGTCTTGGCCAAGGAAATGTCACATGGTTCAGGTATGGATCAGTCGATGTGCTAGGTAGAAAATACATTCAAATGGAAATCTTTAGAATCCAATGGGCATATCGACAGTTGTCACAACATTATTAAGACCGATCCGTGGCATGGTAGGTCTTTGGCCAGCTTATTCAAGGTGCACTCCAAAGTCAGGTACTGCCCTGCCAAGTGAGTACTTCATTGCAGTGTATATATACATATATACATGTATATATAAAAATATGTGTGCGTGTGCAAATGTAAATACATATATATATATATATGATGCAAATAAAAAAAATAAATGCATGTTAATGCATTCATATGTGTATACATACATACATACATACATACATACATGCATGCATGCATACATACATACATACAAACATACAAACATACAAACATACAAACATACATACATACATACATTGACATACATACATACATACATACATACATACATACATACCTACATACATACATACATACATACATACATACATATATATATATATATATACATATACATACATACACACATATATATATATATATACACAATTACATATACATACATATATATATATAAACATACATACATACATACATACATACATACATACATACATACATACATACATACATACATACATACATACATACATACACATACATACATACATACATACATACATACATACATACATACATACATACATACATACATACATACATACATACATACATACATACATACATACATACATACATACATACATACATACATACATACATACATACATACATACATACATACATACAGACATATTCGTGCATCCGTACATATGTGCTAGATAGATTTACATAATTCATATGACCTGCATATTCCCATCGGCTGCAGCGGCTTCAGCGAACAAGTATCGTGGATGATCTGCGGCCGGCTGACAGGTTCTGCCACGGCGATCAAGAAGTCGGCCACCTGACCAACAACCGAGAAAGAAAGGGGGAGGTGAACTGACCAAAATGCGTAACCCAAGGGGTTCCCAAGGGGTTCCCAAAGGATTCCCAAGGGGTTCCAAAGACATTTTCCCAAAAGATCACCTCCCAGTGGGCATCCCTTGACTCTCCGCCTGAGCAGCCTGCGGATGTAAGGTTTCGAAGAGGATGCGTCCCGTCTTGCAGACCCAAATGGGTCGTGCCAAGGCGTCATGGCCCATGGAGAGGCGAGGTCTTGGGATGTCTCAGACGTCAAAAATAATGGCGAGGTCTTGGGATGTCTTGGGGATCATCATCCGAAATATGGCTTTAATTCGGTTGGAACCACCACCATTCAGTCATGGAACAGTTGAAAAGCGAGTAAGTTGTGACATATTGTGACATGTTCTGCATCTACTTGGTTGAACAGAATCCACGCACGTGCGTGGTCCTACCATCCATGGACCCAAGCTGTTACAGTGCCATTGCTATTCAAGGTGTGAGTCGGAAAACTGCTGGTTTACTTGAGAATGTATCTGGTATGCCTTCAGGATGTTTATGCATGTGGTCAAAGAAGAGTGCGAGTAAAATGATATCAAATCTTCCGCAGCTGTTATCAACTGTTATCAGTTGTCTCATTGTTTCGCTAGGGGAATCAGCTCGGGCCTCTGGCTTGCTGAACCTGGGAGACATGACTAGACCTGTCCATGTGCTGATTCCTCCTAATCAGTGTGCTCAAGAAAATATCTGGGACTCCTCAAATCCACCGAATGTTCTTCCAGGACAGGTTTTTTGGGGCCCCATCCGCCCTTTGACCTTAGTCATTCCAATCTTCAAGAGCCATTGACCACAACCATTCTTGGTAAATAATTGTTCATGTCCAAACCTGATGTGATTTGAGGCACTGTTGCATCGATTCACTGTTTTTGAAGGGCTGGGTTACACCACCCGGCTCTTCCCCAATGATAATAATAAGAAAATAGTGGCAAAAATATAACACCAATAATATACTGTGATAAAAATCAAAATATAACAATAGTAATATAGTAATGGTAATAATCTGGCTGCTGTTTACAAGGTTGCTAAAGTAGGTGTTGCAATCTAATCTCAATTGAGGAGGGCTGCTGTTTTAGTACTGGATCTGTTGATTTCCGTTTCCCACAACACATCGCCGGGGGGTATTTTGCAGGTAGGGATCATGTGAATCATGTGTGCTCATTATCACTTTACAAGTGACATTTTCCGTTCCAATCCAATCCAAATCCCCAGTGACATGCGGTCTGCAAGATGATTTTCAGCACTTGTACTTGGCATTTTTTCAAGAAAGAAGTGTGTCAAACCACCACAAATCATCCCCCCGTGCCAGAAATGGAAATGTCCCCCAAAAAAGGTTTATTGTTGGGATTGCCACAATATATATATAATTATGATATGATATGTGATATGATATGATATGATATGATATGCACACCCGGGTAATCACATAATATGTCCACCATTTACTTCAATGATATTCCCACGTGCGCATAGATGCCAATTCACTTCGGGATTTATCAGCCATGTTTGATGACACCAAAGGGTATCAACCTAGATGAAAACTTGCATTTTTGTTTGCGAAATCGCCATTGTTGATGGTTAAATCACCGAAAGCAACGTCTGCAGAATACTCTCGGCTCTCCTTGTCTGTCACGGCAGAAGCTTTGCTGAGAGCCTTCTCCTCCGAGGAAAGAAAGCAGGAGAATCAAAGCAGGAGATAAAGAATGGATGATTACGGATGGGATTTTGTCAATCAGAAATCTAGACTCTAGACACATTAAAACTAACATGTCGAACTCAGAAAATAGCAATCATAGCCTCATAGCCTATACTATCTTGAGACACATAGCCTCAACCATCATTTCATAGTGAGGTCGGCCAGCGAGGTCAATTGACCAACAACAAGGATGGAACATTGGGATTTAAGCCGCAACAAGTGGCGCTGAGATCTACAGGCTATAACCAGCTACAATATATAGAGGAAAATGATGGAAAATGGGGTTGACAATTTGACAATGGGTTCATTGACAGAACCACCGAAAATCTGAGGATTCAGAATCACGTCCCGACCCCCATTTGTTGGATTTTGTTGGGCCATCGCTGACTGGGAAACTGCAGGTGTTTTGAAGTCCGAGATGTGTTGTGGGGGCAATGTGAGTATCCCAGCTAGAATCCATGAAACCTCCAATAAACCTACATCCCTTACATCGCTGGACTATGCAAAAATAAGATAAAATAAGCAACCCCTTCACCATTCATCACCATTCCACCGAATACCATTGAAAACCCATCATGCAACCCAAACTCCTCTGAATCCTACAATACCCTGCATCTCACGGTCCACTGCAGCCTACGATGCGCCAAGGATCTGTCAAGAGTTGCTTGGCCTTTTTGATCGCCTTAGATTGGGTGGATCTCAGAAGCCATGGGTTTCCATGAGAGCCCCTTGGCTCCTTGGCTCCCGCCTGACCATTGGATAGAAAGATGCTAATTATAAAATAAAATGCTATAAATGTCAAGCACGAAAATCGCAACAGGAATGACTGCATCTGGATCCGGGGCTCCCTGACCACATCTCTGGCTAAGAGACCGGTGGAAGCCTTGCAACTGGAAGCATCAGTGGTGAGGTGGCCCTTTGGATGTTCACCGCTGACATGTAAGATGGAGGTCCTAACCTTCACCCTTTCCAAAGCTTTTTGGGCACCCAGCTGTGCAAAAATGCAAGCCCAAACATGGCAATAAAGACAATAGTGAAATCAATGGTGAACCCCCTTGGTCTGCAGTTGCGTGTGTTTTTTCCTTCAGCCAATCAGTTTTGAGATCGTTGTTGCTTGCGCGGTCCAAATCACGTTGGGGACAATGAACATCCATCTCCAACTGATGGGTTGAGAATCAAACAAACTGATCCCCCCTATCTGCAATCCTCTCACAAATATGGACACCCATTCCATCCCATGCTATGAATCCCGATTTTCCTATGGGCCACAACTTTGAGGCACCTGAGGTAACACATGGTAACACTGATACATTGAGAAGGGCTGTGTTATGACTATGGAGCTTAAATGCTCCCATCTGTCCAAGTTAGTCAGCCCCGATTTCTTATGCACTATCCACAATAGATCCATATACCAATTAACAGAGCCACAGTGGGGATGGTTTATTATCTCAGTTCCACTAATAAACTGAAAAGAGTTGGTATTGCGTGGCCGCACTTCTAGGGCCACATATCCCATCGGGTTTACGTCATCGGGCTGTACCCAAGGGTATCTCATGTTATCCCACTCTACGACACATGAAACGGCCACTATTGTCATCATTCTGGATAAAAATTATCAGAATTCACGAACCTGAAAGCTCCAACTTGGGACACATATGCCCTCAATCAGTAAAGAGGATAGTTCCCCCAATCTAATGAACCCATCATTTACTGCGACGCAAAGCAACCTCCATGGCTTCCGAGAAGGTCTTGGCTTGTGGCGCGGCGTCACCTTTTTATGCGTCCCAGGCTATCGGTAGAGTCGGTCAAGGGCTAGGAAAAGGGGATAACTCTAGCAGTAAATATCGATGTTTGGCTACAGGTTGTTTATATACAAACTGGACTTAGCTATCAATATTTATCAATCATAGATTCTGGTAGCTACAGTATCAGTTGGTTCAGAAGTTGGCAAGGTGATCACACGCCATTGGGAACTCTAGGGATCATCTTGGAACATCCAAATCGCTCCATGCTTTTGGACCTGCACAACTCATGGAAGACAGGGAATATATGGGGACACCTGTTGGAAGTCATGCGGACATAGTCGGATATAGCCAAGACTTTGAAAACATATCGACTGCACTGCTGAGTGGCTGAAAGCGCCCGAGAACTCCCTGACCACAGTGCCGAACCTCAGAAATGTGGGGCCCCGGGGTTGGTGAAGGCCTTGGTGAAGGCCTTCAGGGTCCTTGGGACTTTGTCCATGGTGGGGTTTCTCCAAGTTGACACCAAGCTACGGTAAGCCACTGATCAAACTCAAATAGACCAAGGCTTGCCCAGTACTGTCAAGTTCATGTCAGTATCAGATTTCATCAAAAATGATTAATTATTCAGCAACACATATCTGGAGTTTTCAATTTTCAACCGCACACAAATTGTAAATTGAGAATGCCATGGCACATCAAGACATTGATTTAAGCAGTGAACAGCTAAGAAAGTCTGGCTGCCGAGTCGTTTCATCTGAGATCCCCTGACGTGGACACGGTGATTGCATTGCCTGCAGGACATGGATCTCATGAAGAGACCCCAACGGGTCAAAACGGAGACCTGGAGACCTATCAGTTTTGGAGATGTTCTCTTACTTTTGGCCCCTGTGTGAATGTTGCACTTACTGAAACAGATGCGTGTAAGACGTTGGCTGGCGTAAAATATCCATGAATATATGCCAGGACGGGCCGGCCTACGAATTATATACATATATACATGTATGCATATATATATATATACATGCATATACATATATATATATATGCATATACATATATACATATATACATATATACATATATACATATATACATATATACATATATACATATATACATATATACATATATACATATATGCATATATACATATATACATATATACATATATACATATATACATATATACATATATACATATATACATATATATATATATACACATATACATGTATACATATATATATATAAATAAATATTATATATATATATATATTATTATTATCTGCGTGTGCAACATCTTTTTATGGCTAGCGTTAACTGCTCCTCCAAAAGTTGCTTTTCAGTGGGAGAAGCATGCTACAGTCATCCCTGGGTGGCAAACATCGGCCCATGAATTTACCCATTACAGTAATATTTTCGATCAACACATATCCCGACTGCTGATGGTTTCAACATGTTTCAACCCCATCCCAAAGTATTTGTCATTGGGGGATCACTATCCCCGACACAGTCAAGCATGAAGAATACTGACACCTATTTGAAACTACCAATTACACATATTTAAGTATATTATCAGCCAACCATGAGTGAAATTTGATATATCCAATAAATCAGTTATCAATCATGTCATAGTGTTATTTCTCGTTGTTGGTCATATCAAGCTAAATGTTCCAAACTACAGAAATGACGTCAGCATTGCTCCAAGGCACCCAGATTTTGCTTTGCTTGGAGCTCTGCTGGGGCGAAGATCTTCTCCAAATAACCTGCAGCAGAATGCAAATATGGATAGGATCACCTGATCACCTTTCACCTGTAAAAGGAGGCGCACATATTTGACAAATAAACCCTGGGACAAAGTCAACAAAATACAACCAACTTCCAGCGGTTGGAACCGCACCTCCGGAGGAATATTGGTCTGGGAAATTGCCAGGGTTCCACCAAGTCCAATGACGTGAAAACTCAGACCTTCTGTCAGCACCTTTTTCAATGCTTCCCGTAATGGATTGAAAAATCATCCCCTGCTAAATCCGATAGCATACTGCACACACTTAAACATCGACATCCACCAACCAAGATTCTTGGCATGACTCAAAAGGGTTCTGAGGTCCTTCGATTCCATGACTAATCTTGGACCATCGCCATAGCCAAAAAAAGTTCCCTAAGTCGCCGCACCATTGATGAAGCGCCAGAAGGGCTTTTCGATGACTGCCAGGTTGCCGTCCCAGCTTTCATCTGGGCGATTTTGTGTATGAGATGAGATGGGAAGATGAAACAACTCTACATACCCAGCTGGCGATTTCGCTCCGGTGAAATCTATCATTTATATTAATTTATGATATGTCATGGCTAATGTTCTTACAAATGATCAGAAAATGATCAGAAGTTTCTACTGCCTCCACGGTAATATATGGATGTAATATATATATATACATATGTAATTATATATATATACATACACGGTAATAACGGGAGTCGGCTTGCTACCTCTCCACTGCACCCGAGCCGGGTCCGCGGGCTTTCGATTTTCAAGGAGGGATGAGGAAGACACCAAACGTCGATGTCATGAAACCTTGGGGCGTTGACACGCTGGGGACTGCAGCACGTGCCCTGAGCCAATGAGTCATTGATATGCATACGTACGGGAAACCCACATAATTACCAAAAAAGAGGTTTTGCAAGTCTGGAAGGGGAATGAGTTTGAATGCTGATCACGAGAGGGGCTCGGTAAACAAGAATCCCTTGCATATTCATCATATCACACTCATGATGTTTAGAACTCTTGAAGAACACCTTTCAAGCGATGTTTTACTCAAACAAGACTCTGCAAGATCAGTGTGGCCAACTTTCCAGAAAGTCAAGAAACAAATCCCGAAGTGCATCAACGCTCTTGGTGTCCTTTCGTAGCATTTCCAAAGAGGGTGTGAGGGGTAGCAACTGTGGTCAGCGTGAAATGCACAACACTACTGGCTGGCGGGGTTGAATGGGAAAAGGGTCCGGAATTGTTTTGGGAATTGTGTTTTTTCCGTTCCGGGATTTTTGTTTTGATCTGCTCTTCTGCCCATTTTCCGTGCAATTTGCAGCATTTTGGAGCTGGAAGCTGCCATTTCAACGGTATTGCAACATTTTGGAGTTCGAACCTCTCATTTTTCATTCATTTTCCATGTGATATTTGCAACATTTTGGTGTTCAAACTTGTCATGTTGGATGGTATTGTGCGACTAGGGCCTAGGGGCAATTCCAGGTTTGTTTAGATTTATTGTAGGATTTATTTGGAATTGGTTTAGGGTTGGTTTAGTTTTTTTAATGATTGGTTTTGTTCTTTTAAGGGTTGGTTTTAGGGTTGGTCTGGGGTTTATTTTGGGTTGGTTTAGGATTTATGTAGAGTTAGTTCAGGGTTGGTTTAGGGTTTCTTTAGGCGTGGTTTTAAGATTATGTAGGATCTATTTAATGTTGGTTTTGGATTTAGTCGGAATTTGTTCAGGGTACTTAGGTTTGGTTTAAGATCTATTTGGGGTGGGTTTAAGATCTATTTAGGGCTGGTTTAGGGTTTATTTAGCGTAAGTTTCAGACTGATGTTTAGGGGTTACATAGGTTTTTTTTTGGGGGGGGGAGGTGGTGTTAGCCCGGGTTTATTTAGGGTTGGTTTGGAGTTTGTTTCGGGTAAGTTTCAGATCTTAGGGTTGTTTAAGGGTTTACTTAAAAGTTGCTTTGTTTTTTTTGGGTTGGTTTGGGGTTTAGGGTTGGTTTAGTGTGTATTTATATTGTGCATTTTGGGGTTTATTTTGGCTTGAGAAGCAGAAAAGCAGAAAACAGCAGAGAAGCAGATCGGTGAAGAAGCAGAGAGGCAAAGAAGCAGAGAAGCAGGGAAAGGAAGAGAAGCAGAAAAGCAAAAAGCAGAGAAGCAGAACAGTGGAGAAGCAAGAAGCAGGTAAAGGAAGAAAAGCATCAAAAGCAAAAAGCAGAGAACCAAAGAAGCAGGGAAACAGAAATTCAAAAAAAAAACAACCGGAAAAACCATAATTCCCTCCAAAAACAGCACTCCATATATAAAACAAACATTAGAGAAGTGAAATTGTGGGGATCTATCCCTTTTGCGCCTATTGTAGTGGTGGAACATAACAGAATGTGTCCTCTCCATAGTGAAATGGCTACCCTCTGGTAATCAAACATGGGGGAACTCCAGCATTTCCAGATGATTTCCTCAGCCTGGATCGATCATCGGCTACAGCAGCCACTTCCCCGGCGCTCTCCTGAGACATCTTTGGATCAAAGTACCTGGCCGCAATGCGGCAGCGCCACAGGGGAACGATCTTTGGGCCGAATTTTCGGGGTTACAGTCGTAAGGGAGTTAAGGGAGAGTACCAGGGGATGGAAGAATTGTAAGCCTGCAAATTTGTAGGCTGACACGTCATCGCATGTCCTGAGCAAAAATATGGTTCTTTCTATGTGGCGATGCCCATGTGCACCCTGCCAAGAATCCACAATCATACCGTGAATATCCGTAAATATCAATGAATCAACAGGTGTTGCTTGGTTACTGTTGACACCCTGACACTCTGCACAGGTGGGCTTTTGGATCATCCCAGGGTCCCAGGTAGGCGTTGGGGATAAATGTTTGAAAACACCAGCCATGTCCAATGTTCAGTATAAATCAGTAATAATCAGTATATACACTTAACAGACTTAACATACCTTAACCGACTTTAAAAGGGCTAAAGGTGTAAGGCACGGGGTAACTCATGCTTTTCGCACTGGAAGAGCACACAGGGTCACTGGTCCAAATGGTTCTTCATCATCGATCTGGCAGCAGGGATGCCGACATTCTCCTCGACGGATTCTGGCTGCCAGCCCATGTCCCACGGGAGGCATGGGCTCTTTGGCAAACTGAACATTGACCGAACGGACCTAAGGACTTCGAAAAGAGTGACTAACATTGACAATCAATCGATCTTAATCATTTTTAAACCTGTCTAAGTTGCATGGCACACAGTCTCCTTTCACATTGATTCTTCGGGTTTGCTTCCGGGTGTGCTCCGATGAACCCCCCATTGCTCCATGCTGTTCCACGGCTCCTGATAGTGCGGCCAATCGCGCACCAGGAATTCCAAGGTTTGAAACGGTTCCTGGGAGTCGATCCCAACCAGGATACCAACACGAAAAGGGAAACATGATGAAACATTAAGATGATAATGATCGATACTAGGAACGACCTAAATCTGTAGCTTTTGGACTGATGTGTTGATAATTATATGTTGAGATAATATATATATATACTATGTGTTGATATATGCCGATATATGTTGATATATCCTGACTCATACTAAGCAAACATATCCGTTTTCTCCAGGGTTTGCTGCAAGTTCGGGTCCATGATTGGAGAAGTTGGGGCACTCATTTCGGGGACTGCCCAAAAAGGTAACGCAGTAACGCCTCATAACGCATCCTTTTAATCATCTATTCCAGTACAATACAATCGCAGCATTCAACAGCCACCATCAACCAACATCTGTAACCATCATCACTCATCATCAACCATCATCAACCATTATTAACCATTATCTACCATTATCTACCATAGTGACTGTATCTTGAAGGACTCATCAAACCTTTCGCTGTCCAAGCTCGCTGTCCGAGCGAGCTTACGCCGAGCCACGCGCTTGACGCCCGTGTCCCTCTCAAGAGCTCGGAGAGCGGCTTTGGCGAAATCCGTGAAGTACAGCCTCGGTGTTGGCCCATCTTTTGGTCCTATCATAGTCATATATCCATCATCTTGGGCCAATTTATGGCATACCTCTATTGAACACAGCTGGAAAATCATGATGGTTAATAAGTAACACATCTATGTAATCATATGTAATAAATCGTAGTCAGCCATTTTCCATAGCTATGATAACTCACCAGAGGGTGCATCACCTTGTTGGTTTAAAATCACCATTGTATGGTTATATCCCATTAATCCCCATTGTTGATTATATCCCTCCACTACTAGTTGATTACAGTTATATCATACGGTGGCAGCTGAGTCATGCCAACCCTGCATCCCAGCAGCAGGTTGTCGATCTTGTCTTGTTGAATCTGCTTTGAGACCTGGGTGCATCCCATTTGGATCCAGTGGGGATCAAGCATCTAGCTGGGATGCACATCCAAGTAGGGAGCATGATCTTCCAATCCGGCTTTTTCAGGTTCCATGATGTCGTGTCCCGGGAGGTATTGAAGAACCTTTCAGGAAACCATGTGCCAATGAGCAAAAGCTAAGAACAGCCATTTGTAGTAGAAGGACCAGGTTTTGCGTCCAGCAAACTGACAGTCCAGGTGAGCTAAAAGCCTGATCAAACGTGGTGTGAAGGGAAAACAAATAAAACATGGGGGATATGAGTGAAAAGCATTGAAAAGCAACATCATGCAACCAAGACACGTTGTAGATAAGACGTGACGCAAGAAGGGTGGTCAAGCCAAAGATCGTTGCGCTTTGCTCCTGGAATGCTTCTCGGATACGAAGCACAGCCAGGCCAATACCATCAGCGTTTATCCTCCGTTAATGCCAAATCCCGAATGATTGGGGAAAAATATCGAAGTAAATGGGGCAAAAAGCAGCAAAACCTACCTACTAAAGAGCACCTATCATAGCTAATACTGCTATATTCATAGCTGACATCTGTTGCTAAACCAGCTCTCCCGCCTTGCTCATGCGGGCATCCCAAGCACCTTGAGTGTCCATGAGCGCCACCGCCACATCCTCACCGCTGCTGTCCGTTTGCTCACCGAGTGGTCTGACATCTTTTTTTGGTGCCCCAAAAATCAAAATCCCCTGGTTCTTCGTATGTAGTATATAGAATAAATAATGATGGTGTTGTTTTTCCCCCGGAAATGGCCATAACTTGGGGATCCCTTATTTTCAGACACAACCTGGAAATTGGATTAGTAAGGATGACTGTACAGCTCTCAATAGTTCACCTTGGATACACGATAAATAAATATGGTTGGACAAATTGGACAACCACCAAGATCATCAATGTTTCTGCTGCATTCTCCAGATGCCGGGATGATCTCTGGAGGAAGCGAATGGCTGGTTGTGCGATGGTTTCTGGATTTGAGCACTGTATGATTATCAGTGATTATCCCATGCATGTCTCCGGTTATTATTTCTAACGTATCGAAGGCCCATTTTGGTCCAAGGTTGTTTATGTTTCAGATCAGTATTTCCTCCAGTATAAACGGGTCTAGGTTGTGCACATGTATTGCATGTGGACATGTGTGTCATGTGTTGTGAGAACAAATGGAGCCAAATATATGCATGCATACGTGCGTCAAATATCTAAATATTTATTTATTTATTTATTTACTTATTTTTTTTCCACGAATTATATTTTGCACATATAATCATAAATAAATATATATATATATATAATGTGTACTGTTTTGCTGGATACCAAGTGATTCTTGCCGAATATTTTCCAGCTCCACATCTCGATCGAAGCGCCCCGGGACAGTCGCGAACCTCATCCCCGGCTTTGCACACGAAGACCTCTGACCAAACCCAAATGCCCTGGCGCCAAGTGGTGAATGTACCCTCTCTCTCTCTCTCTCTGTCTCTCTCTCTCTCTCTATGTATACGCATATATATATATGTATGTATGTATATATACTGTGCAAGCATGCAAAAATACTGTAAATATACCGGAATGTGTGGTGGAATGTAATTTGACCTATATATAACGTAATGTAATGCATGGTATGGTATGCATGCATGTATGGTTTGTGGCTTGAACAACGAAAAGACAAACGTATGGGTCGGTAGACTTCCCCATCGTTCTTCAAGTCGCAGAGTTTCCCGATTCCCAACTACCAACCTGACCCCCTGTACCTTGAAACGACAAAAACAAACGGAAAAAAAACACACACAAGACACATGTTACATATAATGATTAATGTGTAATCTCAGTGTGACATGATTGACATGTGTTGTCGCTGAGACCTTCTTCGCCGTGTCCCGCCTCAGTGCATTTCTCCATGCCGGGGCGCCACACAAAGCCTTCCCTATCTTGGGTACTGCCCTCCCGACCTGCCAGGCCGTGGAGGAAATGGATGGAAATTGGAAATGGTTTTCCGATCAATGAGATGACAATTGTCGGAAAAATGAGGTGAATATGAGATGCATTTTGGCAATGACATGATAATGACATGATCATAATGATAATAATGATCAAAATGATCATGGCATGAAAATGAGATGATCATCCCAAAATCCGATAGAGTCCGATAGAGACATCTGGAGGAATCTCCGGTCGAGCTGGGTGCCTTCCAGCAAATTTGGGCCACAGTTCACTGCCCAATCAGGAACTTGTCTCTCCGCGACCTTGGCTGTTGGTGATTGACCCTGGATGAACTCCTTGGGGCGCAGGTCATCCAGAACCAAAAGGTTAAAGGGGCCTTTTGTCCTCACAATCCGTCTGCGAAAAACGACTGTTCAAAACCTCATATATCTGTTCTTTTTGATGGAATATTTCTTGGTGGCAGGGTAGGATTTTTGTATTATATACCCATATGTCAGCCATTCTCGAATTTTTTGGGGCCAGATATCATGGCTTATTGATGTTGTACAATGGAGCAGGCTCTGGATCGACTTGATGTGCTGAGGACGCCACCCAGTCTGGAACCTCACATGCCTTGCGCCATGCAAAATTCGTGAGTAGTCAGGCTAGTCAGGCTGAATTCAGGTGAAATGTGCAACGCCAATTAGTTTCAAAGAATTTCATCTGATAAAGGCCTCACTAATTCCTCCTCCCTTCTCTCCAAAAAAACTCCCTGGTGTATCCCTGAGAGAAATCCGATTCCGAATAGCTTCCTCCCCCAGGATCCTCACTCCCGGGCGCCCTGCACCGGCACCTCAGGCAGGTTTGAGACGTAGCCCTTGGGCGGGTGCTTCTCACGCAGGTAGCGCAGCATCAGATCCAGCAGGAAGGACTTTCCGGTGCCTTGGCCGTCTGATTACCAGGTGGTATATCCATTAATATCTCATTATCTCATTAATTTTCATTGATTCTCCATTAATATACCCCATTAACATCCTTCTTATATCCCTATCAAATCATAGTACTTCCATTGATTTCCCACATTCCATAATATCCCTATTATGCGACCTATGTTTCTTGGTCAAATCCCTTATCAAAACCACGGTTTGGAAACACCATCGGCTCAGCTACGGAAGGCTCCCATGACTCCAATGATGGCCACCTTCTCCACCTCAGCGAAGCTTTTCAGCTTGCCATGTCGGCTGAGCTCATGTGAAAATTCACACAGTAGTGGTTAGAGAATATAACTAATATAACAACCAAAAAACATATACTTATAATTACTACAAATCTCTTTCCATCGCCTTCTCTCTCTCTCTATCTATTACAGATGTTATACATATATAAGTAGAATATTTATTTATGGATTTGTATCGTAGTAATTTAAGAAACAAAGACTTGAGGATTCTGATCTATGAATGGAATTGTTAACCTTTTTTTTTTGGGGGGGGAGGGTACGAATTGCAATAGTCATTTAAAGTGTGTAATTTAAGCATCTTATCATGTATCATAATTTCTCTCCCTTTTTGGGGTAGGGTACCTGGGGTACCAACTTACCAATTTCTCTCAAAAACATGACGGTAGCCCGGCGATTCCAGCAAGAGTCAGGCTTTGTAAATATGGGGTGGGCATTCGCTGCAATGACCATCCAGGAATCTCCAAATTTTCCAGCGGCCATGAGCTTTTGAACATATTGAGAATGTCCTACTAACATAGGTATGGAAGCTATGAACCATTTACTGTATACATGGCGATTTTCCCAAGTACACTGTTAAATTTCCAAAGGATAGCCATACTGTTCTTTTTTGCTTGGATTGTTCATTTGGGACCCCACCAAACGAAGTTCTGCGACAAAATCTGTTCCCTGGGAACTGAAGTAATCATCAGCAGTTCAGTGAGGTCATGCCAGTAGTATCTATAAGTTCAAGTGGGGTTCAAACAATCAATGAGTGATATGGGTGTGTTTTGTGAAGATGGTGCAGGAAATCACATGTTTTGAAATCAAAGATATGGATTTCCTGCAAGCTTCCCTTGATCTACTTCTAGGTCCATGATTTTCCTTCATCACTGAGAATTTTCCATCAACCCAACCATTCATCAAGGAAAACCAAGGTTTACTTAGGCATCATTGGTTGAACATGGTTGAACCATTGAACCATACAAACATCACACAATTCCACATCGTTTGCCCCTTGAATCTCCAGCGACAGGTGCAAGCGCCGAGCTGCACCAGTCTCCTCCAGAGCTTTTTCCAAGACTTGCAGATCCTCCTCATTCAGAACCACCTGCAGTCTGCAGAAACTGCAGGGGCAAAAAAGGCAGGTTTTACCATGTCTCGCCAGGTTTTACATACGGAAACACGATTGAAGTTGCCATCATCAGGAAATGGTGATGAACTTAGGGGACTTGGGAGTCTGATGACCTCTTCCGCCATCTGAATGGAACATGTCACACTGGGATGGCACAGGCCTTGCCATCCCACCAACCGGCGATGCTATCCCTATGCACATTTTCTGGGGCGATAGGACTACTCCGTGGCAAAAGGTTGAAGATGTTGAAGTGGCGAACTCGTCCAAGCCATATGGGGAAGAGGGAATACGATGCTACTATCATTTGTGGGTCAATTCTTTGTCTTTTCTTGATTGCATGGGTAAACACACACACACATCTATCTATCTATCTATCTATCTATCTATCTATCTACCTATCTACCTATCTACCTATCTACCTATCTACCTGTCTACCTGTCTACCTGTCTACCTGTCTACCTGTCTACCTGTCTACCTGTCTATCTACCTATCTACCTATACCTACCTACCTATCTACCTATCTACCTATCTACCTATCTACCTATCTACCTATCTACCTATCTACCTATCTACCTATCTACCTATCTACCTATCTATCTACTATCTATATCTATCTATCTACTATCTATCTATCTATCTATCAATCTATCTATCTATCTATCTATCTAATCTATCTAATCTAATCTATCTAATCTATCTAATCTATCTAATCTATCTAATCTATCTAATCTATCTATCGAATCTATCTAATCTATCTAATCTATCTAATCTATCTAATCTAATCTATCAATCTATCTAATCTATCTAATCTATCTAATCTATCTAATCTATCTAATCTATCTAATCTATCTAATCTATCTAATCTATCTATCTATCTATCTATCTTCCTATCCTATCCTATCCTATCCTATCCTATCTATCCTATCTATCCTATCTATCCTATCTATCCTATCTATCCTATCTATCCTATCTATCCTATCTATCTATCTATCTATCTTCCTATCTATATTCCTATCTATCTATCTATCTATCTATCCATCTATCTATCTATCTATCTATCTATCTAATCTATCTATCTAATCTATCTATCTATCTAATCTATCTTTCTATCTATCTATCTATCTATCTTCCTATCTTCCTATCTATCCTATCTATCCTATCTATCCTATCTATCCTATCTATCCTATCTATCCTATCTATCCTATCTATCCTATCTATCCTATCTATCCTATCTATCCTATCTATCTATCTATCCTATCTATCCTATCTATCCTATCTATCCTATCCTATCTATCCTATCTATCCTATCTATCCTATCTATCCTATCTATCCTATCTATCCTATCTATCCTATCTATCCTATCTATCCTATCTATCCTATCTATCCTATCTATCCTATCTATCCTATCTATTATCTATCTATCTATCTATCTATCCATCCATCCATCGATCTATCCATCTATCTATTATTCTATCTATATCTATATATATAAATAAATATATGTGATTCCTTGTGTATGTGTATATATATATACATAATTGTATATAATGTACACGCACGTATGACTACTTATCTGCATATATTAAAAACATATATGAGTGTGATTATGTGGGTATGTGTAGAATATAGTGTAATATGTATATTATGATATATTATGTGTATCAAACTATCCGCATGTTTGATACCTTGTTCTGCTCCAAATCGATCTGCACCAGCTGCAGGGCTCGCGGCTTCGAGACCGCTTCGGGGCTGGCCTGACATGGAATCACCAATCATTTTTCATGGGAAAACTGGAAAACCATTGGAAAAAACATAGGAAAATATGGGGAAGAACACTATAAAGGGAGGTTCCTGTAGGCTTTGACGATAGTTTCAATGGTTTCAATGGCTTGGTTTAACAGAAAATTGAAACCGGAAGCCCGGAAGCCCCTACATTTCAGGGGAAAATCCATGGTTTCCGATTATCAAAAACCAATCCATTGATTTTCACTAAAGTTGGGGATTTCAACACTCCAATTTTAGGGGTGTCCGAAGTTGCTGAACTTGGGAGGGTTGGGTCGCCCCGGTTTCAATCCTGGCCTGTCCCACCCCCAGTGTGGCCACTTCCGCGGCCGCGTGGCACACTAATCGCCGCCGGGCCAAAGCCCCGGCCTCGGATTAAGTCACATGAAGTTGCCCATGGAATTTCAAGGACGAGTTGAACCTAGGCATAAATAACATCAAATAAGATCACTGTCATTATTTAAAAAAAAATGATAATTCATGCAATGTATTCACCAGTCCAAACGTGAACTACAACGATGTTTTGGTCCAAGATTTAACTTGATATTTAACCCCCCAAAATGGTCTGGTTTGACCAAGCAAGCAGGGTCGAATTCTGTAGACCCCAGTGATCAACAGAACAGGGTCAACAGGGTCGATGTCCACAAAACCAATGGGAAACCAATGGGAAACCACGAGGGAAACCACGAGGGAAACCACGAGGGAAACCATGGTTAAACCTGGGAAGAATTCCACGGTGCCTCAGGTCGCGATTTCGATGAGTTGTGTTTACAATGTTTACAGTTACTAGTAGATTAACCCAGGTTTATGGTGATAAAATGGATACAATCAAAGTTGGATTCGACAGCTTTTTCATCACGCTGACAGCTTCGCCAGCGCATTGCTATCTCTCCGATTAGTGGGCCCCAGGTGGCGCCCTCAAACTTCCAAAAGCTATGGGTTTCATAGCCCTGTTATGACGACATTGCTGAATAAATCTTATAAATGATTGTCCGCGCACGAATAAAACAACACCATTTTGGGGATGATGTGTAAACCATTTTTTCAAGTTCTTGCAGGGTCTATGTATGTGATGTGCGCAAACTCCATGACATACCTGCAACTCGTTTAGAATTAAAGTGCGGCCGGAAAATGATCTGTAATCACAGTAATCACCCTCAAATGGATGAGCAAACTTGGCTAGCTGTAGGCTGCAGGTCAATCAGCAGTCACCAAAACATAAGGAATAAATGGATACAAGCATGGGCAGGTCAAAAGTAGGGTGCCAATGGTCCCGCAGGATTGGTCAGGTTTAGTATTGGCATGATTTTGCAGTCTCATACCTTCATGCAGAAGGTACACCAGCTCTTCTCCTAAGTTTGGTTTATCTGCCACCTGAAGTGGTGCCCGAAACCGCTTGTGAAACATCCGCCACGTGCTAGAGCTGTACAACACACCTTGGTTCGTGATCGAATCGTGGCCTAGGACAGTTGCACACACCCTGGAATCTAATACGGCATCCTAAAATTGGCCCCACCAACAATCATATACTCTGGTTCTTTCTTCCCACTTCCATGTCATATTTGAAATGAATGTATCCAAGTGCAATACCAAAAGAAAAACAACACATCAAAATGATTCAAAACGTATCAAAGCCACAGAAACTCGATAAATTTCCCATTGAAATCATGAAGTTCTGATACTCATTTCATGCTCATCTTAGGTGAAACATCTTCAAAGCTCTCCGACTCTCAATCTCTTCCCTCCACCTGGGACGGCCAGACTGCCTGGCGATGTGATGCGGCGATGCCACTTTCGGGCCATAGCTGTATAGACGATGATAGCAACTCACTGACTTGAAACATGGAAAATAATGATAACTATATTGCTATAATATATGGATAACTATGGATACATATGGATAAGTGAATATATGGAAATATATGGATATAGATATGGATGAATAATGATACATAGAGAGTATATATAAATACGGTCATGTTATGAGTTGTTATGTCATTGACCGACACAATTTCACCGAAAAAACACATGATCTAGAGTGTCGTCGTTGTAACGTCGCTATGTTTTTTCATCAACCATGGAGTTTATCCATCAATTATTGCATCAATTGTGCGGTTCAAACACCATGATGATATGGAGGATAAATGTCTTATAAGTTCACATCATTTACTGCCCCATACTGCCCCATAAGTTCTAGTTTTTGTTCAAGATTTGAAGCTCAAAATCGAGTATTCCGAGGGAATTCACCAGCCATCCCCGGCCCGATGGCCCGAACCAGCTTCCGTGCCTGAAACATGCTGACGCAAACTCCAGGCAGCGCCCAGCTTCTGATCCGCCTTGAGAATGGGAAAGTCCGTGTGTTCCAGTGAAATGGTTGCCTGATCGGATTTTTGGATTTGATGATTGAGCGTTGTACGTTGTACATCTTTGATTAATATTGATTAAGAATTCGAAGATTCACACCTCTTTATCTCTCTCTCTCTCTCTATCTAGCGGTGTTCAGTTGTGCCCAGGCACTGGCCATCCCACTTTTCAGCGGGCTGAGTGCAGGTGAGCCGGATCACGTAGTAGGCATCCACGAAGATTCTGGGGGCGTGCACGGCGGTGACCGGGGACCCATACCCATACATACAGCGACTACAAATCCATATGCGCAGAGAGAAAGCAAGTGCATGTCATGATAACTCTTGTCCTTCTGGGGAAGGAAAACAACATATCCAGCAAACGTAAGTCAAACATGGTCACGATCCGTTTCAAGGCACGTGATGAAGACATTCATCAGGAAGAAGGTCAGCAAAAGGTAGAGAGCCATGGCGGAAATCACCCCCACCACCTGCTGTCATTGGTGGACGCTCAAACCAGTTGGAAGGTGATGTTTTCCCATCAAACATCACATCAACTGAGCGTGACAGTTCAATCAATCTTACGTCAGTAGGGTACGCGGCTGGTTGCGCGAGTTGTGGAAAACTCATTCCGGTACAAGTATGTATGTACAAGTCTTCAAAGAGCGGATGGTCTGTGAAACAATTTTGCAACGGTGATTGTGTCAGCCCAGATTTGGCTGGCTCCATGACTTAATTCTGCTTTTCAAAATCGTGTTTGAACATCCTTGACTAGTCCACAGATACATATATATATATATAACAGTTAATGATACATTGTCTTAAACAGAACAAAATACATATACGCAGATAAACATGATAAACTATATATGTATATATACATGCAAAATAAATAATGCGTGCTGCGTACATGCTGATATCTATATGACATATATTTCATATAGTTTACACAGAAGATATACACAAGATATATGTACATACATATACATACATAATCACCATCGTTTTGAGGGGGACGGGACGTACCCAAAATGTCAGCTACATTTTTCAAGGTGTTTTTGAGGGGGGCCTTGAACATGTAAGCTTACATTTTGAAGGTATGTTGAAGACCCTCCCCACAGAAACAACACCTGGGGGACGTTCAGTGGCCAATTTTACATTTAAGGGGGGGCCCCGAAAAATGTATCTTACACTTTGGTATGGGTCCCCCCTGAAAAGTAGCCTTAAAGGGGTGGTGATCATATATAGACACTTACATACACATTTACACTTTCCCGACACACCTGTCTCCTGAGTCCCTCCCTCGCCCTGCCGCCCGGTTGGCGCACCACGTCACGATCAAGGATATTGGGGTGCAGGTCGCCGTGCGTGAGCTTGAAGGTGGACACTGATGTCCTCATCAAGCTGGAGAATCCTTGGTGTTTCGCGAAAGAGGGGAGAACGACCCATAACATACGCATCTTTAAGGCGAAAAAAGATGAAACGTAGAAGTTGAAGAGGATCATCTTTCCATACTGAAGAAGGCATGCAACAGCTGCAGGATCATTGCTGAGGAAAGGGCCCAGGATGTACTTGCCAAAGAGAGCAGTGGATACCACAATAAAGCCTGGTCGGGACCACTGGCCACTGGCCCACCACTATCATAGCAGCTAATACCACTATCATAGCAGCTAATAGCATTGCTACATACCTGGCATACCACGTGATTCGCCGCAGTTCACTCCTATTGAACCCAGTCTTGGTTCTACATGGTTCTAACGGGTATGGCGGTTTCGACCCGCCCGATCCATCCCGAAAATTCATAGTCACCTGGAGCCCTGGTAATTCTGCTTTGCAGGGATGAAAAAGGCAAGACATGAATCTTTGGAGCCAGCGTCGAGCCCAATCAATCCTGCCATTACTGACCCAAAGATATCCCAACACAGCAAGAAAGGCACCATCAAAGGAGGGTGGATATGATACACATCATCTACAACAGCAAAGAAACCACATGTTCAAACCCAACATCCCAGTTGCAGCTCAATCCCATGAGCACCTGCAATGGCGGGGACAAAGATCAGTGTGAAGAAAATGAAGGCCTTCAACGCCTGGGGCATCGGCTAGCTCGCCCTGGAATCCCGCTCAAACTGGAGGGGTTGCTTCTGCAATGTCCGCTCTGCGAAAATAACTCATCAAGATTGGATTGCTCCCATCTTTACGCCTTTACCCACATTTCTTGCGAGAAAAAAGGGGCAGCCTTCTGCGGATCAAGCAACCATTGGGATAAGGACACACCTGTGGGTCTAATTATTGACTTTTGCCACAGATTTGTCCTTTTAATAGGGCCCAAAATGTCTATCTTTTCAGGAAAAAATAAAAATACATTTTTGATTAACCACAATTTTCAGACAATCCTCCTGCTGAGCCAATTTTGCCCGCCTGACCGATGGCTTTCCACTGCAAGTAGATGGTGTGACTCAACCCTCAGCGGCTCCGCATCTCTGAAAATTGAAGCACCCAAAAATGCGTCACTCAATTGGCTCTAGGGATTTCATCATCCCAGCTATTAAGGGATGATGGGAAAACAATGACACCAGGCGGAGCAATTGTTTTTTTGGTGCAAACCTAGAAGGAACTGTTGACGATCTTGGGATGCTGCAGGCTGATGATATCCAACATTATCCAACTGTAAGAGAACATGTGTTCCCATGTGCAAACCCCAGAGTCCAAACAGTGGCATCCCTTGAAAATGTCTCCCCAAGGAGATGGGGTGCAAAACATTGGGCCGAGGGGCTGAAGAATGTGATCATCCGATACATCAGGAAGACCATCACAATGCCATCCTGACAGACGTCAAGACTGCTGGGTGACCCCAGACCATCAGCCAAAGATGTGCTGGTTGCTTGCAATGAGCATGATCTATTGGAGGTAACCGGCAACCAAAAAACATTGAAACACCACCAGCCACCCAAATTTATAAACGCATATAAACGCGTGAAACAATTACTCCCCAAGCCAGGAAAACCACTTAGGAGCGCAGTTCCACTTAATTTCTCCCAAACTCCGCAGGTCTGCGTAGCTTCTGCCAACTGCCCACACGGGGGTGTGCTCGGATCCAAGCGACCAGGATGAAGACCGTGTTGTACTCCCAGGCCAACTGTCCTCAGGTTGGAATATGACCCGACCTGCGGGGCTCAAGATGTTCTAACGAAGAAAAAAAAACAGATCCTTTACAGTACATAGCTGGGATGCCAGACTTGCGGATGTTTTATTGATGGTTTTTGGCAAATCCCCCGTAAATCCGAACAAACCATTGATCAACAGCTGCTACCATGCATGCCATGCATCTGAAAGAACGGAAGCCGTTGACACGGTCTTGGTCGTCCGCCAGTTCGATGTAGCTTGCCGTTGGCGGGTCATGGAACACAACCTGCCGAGCAGCTCGGGGATCCCGGTTGGCGATGACGACACCTTGACCCCCAGCTCCATCCTTCAGGAAAACCAACACCTCAAACTATTCACTAAAAGTCACTATGCAAATGAAGATGTTATCAATGATACTGTACCTACTTGATATTAGGTTATAAGATATTATAAGAGTATATAACTGTCATGGTGACTAGTGTGCAATGTAAAATATACAACTCTTCCAATGAAAACTTAGATTGACATAAATTGCCTAAGCATGAATCATCAACAACCTCATGGCAAACAGCACACAAACACGATTCATATCTGGATAAATTGTAATAATCCACTATCACTACCCCAAAACTTCGGCCATTTTGGGATAGCAATCCATTGGGATGTCAAGCAGCTGTCCGCCAAACGACGGTCACGAAAATACAAATCACCTCAGAATTTTACGGCACCGTCAAAAAACGGTCCAACGGCACTGGGGATGATTTCTGCTCATGGTGAAATAGGAGGTCATTACCAGGTGGAAATTGAAGCTGCCTGAAATATGAAAAACCTATTCCTTTGTCAAAACAAGATCCCACTAACAACTGGCACTTTTGGCTACCAGTACGCGTCGGGACTGGTACAATTTGCTGGTTGACTGGCAGGCGTGGCTGAAACTCCTACCGAGCGGCTAAGCCCAAATCTGTAATTCCGGACAGAGAGATGTGATAGTAAAAACCCGCCTGGCGCTTGCAGCTGATGGGGAATAAACACTTCTAGATGCACATTATGGCAAACCCACATAAATCAAAAAAACTCGGTTCTCATGTCTTGGGCTTCGCAATGCCGCAATGACTTGACCATCTTGACCGACTTGTTCATGATCTGCTCATTGCGGCATGCCATGACGTGCGTCCTTTCTGCACTCCCGCCTTGTGGTTGCGCACTTTGTGCTGACGCTCCGCCCATCCTGCATAATCCATCATGGGTGTCGCTCCCAAACGACGACTGGACCCAGAACAGTGGTTTTTCAGCCTTGATATGCCTTAATCAACCACATTCAACCACTACTTCCTGGGAAATCCCTATGGCCCTGGATTTTCCATCAATCGGCTAACCTTTTGAAACAACAGCCACCAGCCGCCTGGTGCTTCCCGTGGTTCCCACAGCCGGGTCCTACGAAGATCAAAATGTAGATAGCAATTGCTAATCGCACCTCAGGTCACCGGATGATAACGCAGAAAGCCTCTGGTACCTTGGCAAACTGAAAACTATGGGAAGCATCATTAAAATGCTAATAATAACGATAATGACAATGGTAATAATTAATTATAATCATGATAGTTATTAATGATAATTGTAATAATGATAATGGTAATAATGATAGTGATGATAATGATGATGCTGATAATAATGATGATAATTATAATAATGATAATTATGATTGGTGAATCAACAAACTAAACCATCTAAATGGGCCATGGCTTCCAGAGCTGTCCATAGCTGCAATAGCTGTGTTGAATTATCAAAGGGGAGAATGTGCTCAGGTGGCGCGTCTACTTGTGCTTAATTCAGACCCCTGAATTCAGCTTTTCCTGGTAGGTTACCGCTATCAATCATGATTTTATCTTTCAACAGCCCCCCCAGCCTGGCACATTGACCATCAACATCATTTTTATCTTTGTACATTTGTACAGTACCAAGGAACAATCATCCTGAGATCGTTGGAGGTCCAATCCCCATATTAGTGAGACCATAGAACACTGATCCTCTGAGGGGCTGTATCATGCTGTGTAGCTCAGACGACCCCTGACGACCAAGAGACATAGTCGATGTAGGTGAACGTGAGCTCATCTCCTGAGTCATGAGATACTCAGCCAGTTTTGTGTGTTTTTTCATGTTTTAACCGCGAAAAATGGGATTTGACCAATGAATACTAGTAGCAATGGAAATGTGTTTCTCTGAAAAATCTTGAAATAAGGCCTAATTATAGCAAAGTTGCCATTCTAGCGTAGGAATCCCTGAAGCTGCCAGGTTCATCCATGTCCATCCATGTCTATACATGTCCATCATGTCAACCCTGGATCAATTCCTGGAATGGGCTGCCCCCCACTAGTAAACTGGGGTTTTCAAAAAATGGTGCAGGGCGAAGCTCACCAGTTACCATGTCGTGCAGCTCAGCTTCTAGTCTCGTAGATCCGTGGTTTGAAGGGTTTCACGGAAAAACTTGGCATCAAATCACCATCCGGAGGAATCTCGAAGAGGAAATCCTCAAAGGAGCTTGCGATGAAGGCCGTGGAACCTATGGTACCAGGAGATTTTCCCTGGAGTTCGGTGATTTTGAGGGTTAATGTAGGTAAGTCTTTAATTGAATATATACTGCACATAGACCAATAAATTCAAATACATAAGCAAACAACTACTCAAATAAATATTAAAGGGAATACAACACATTAAGAACTAATTACATGGGTAGATCAACAAAAACAGAAATGAACGAACAAACAAACAAACAAACAAACAAACGCACGAACGAACTAAGGCTAACTTAGGAACACACCAACAAACCAACCAACAAACCAACAAACCAACCAAATATGTCAACACAATGATACAACATAATCATGCGTAATAGAGCCTAAACGTATTCTGTACATAGATGTGCACTTGGATGATCACCCTCACTACGAAACCAACTTGCTGGCACAAAATCCGAGAAACCCTGCCATGAGTTGTTCTTTTTGGTGTGCCGGGTGCCTCCCCAATACCAAGGGGATCATGTTTCTGCAAAGATGATGGCAAAATTGACGGGGAGTATCGCTTACAGGATAATGGTGCGCACAGCGCCCTGGCATAACCTTTACAAGGGAGAGAGTTGACACTGACAGAGGTAATTAAGAAACAACAGTCGGGGTTGAGACGTACTGTGATGTTACTGTTACCCATTGCAGGACTTTTTGTGGCTTCAGCCGTTCACCGTTTTTCAAAACCCAGCCACGCTGGCGGTCCAAACATCATAGTCGTGGTTGTAGGTGCTGAAGGACATGATCACCACACCTGGGTCGGATCGGTTGACATATGGTCCCAAGGTCTCGGGTACCTCCTATGTTTGATGGTTTGTACCAGGCATTTATGGTAGTACTGGAGATGGATTCTATGATTGTGGTTCAATATTCAATATGTTTCAATCATCACAACCATGTAAAAACCATGCGATTTAAGTCTCAAAACCATGAGAAACTGGAGGTTTCTGAAACCATGGGGGGGCAATCATCAAAGTAGATCTGAGCAAACGACATCACAAGAGGCCATCCCTACCATCATGGTGGATGTGAAAGCCCACCAGTGTTTTCTTGTTACCATGTTGGATAACCTGGGAGTATACACTCTGGGTATAGGCATAATTCAAGACCTTGGGGGCCACAGATTCAACATGCGTTTTTTTTAAATATATATAACCGCCCAACTATTGGGGTACCCAATTTTGAACCATATCCATGATACAACATCCAATTGTTTGACTTAATTCACAGGATTTGCCTAGTCATTTCAAGCAGCGTCACCAAATTTTGCTTGGACCTGACCGGGTTTATATCCTTAGCATTCAAAAGTATCTCAGTGAAATCTCTGCAGTATCTGAGCATAGGTCAAAATACAACATGGTCAATTTCAATATCAATCATCCCATTGTCAAGAATCATAAGAACCAGTTCATATTCATGCCGCATTCATGCCCATCATGTTCTACAAAATTGCTCTTTTATCTCTACAACATCGCGAAATGTGAGCAAACAAATCATCATTTACTTGAAGATCGACAATAACATTAGTATTGTATTTGTTTTTTTTACCAGTTTTTTACCATATAAGAACAGGTTTGAAATCTCTTTTCTTGTTATGACCGTGCCGACTCGCAACGAGTGGTGGTGCCGATCCAGCCAGCATCCCGGAAAACTTGGAGATCAGAACCTGGGAGAGATCTTCATGGGACGATTAGACAAGAAGTTTTTAGCCATGAAAAAGAAGGACTTAAGGAGATATTCTTCGAAAAACATTGGGATACCCATGGGGTATATATATATATATATTCTATATATTATATTATATGCTATATATATATATTATACACATATTGTATGAGCAATCTGGGAAACGCAAGGGTCACGAAGAGGACATTAACAAATTTGAGAAGCTCGCGTTGCTTACCTGACGTTTGCACAAAATTGATGTAATGGAAACTTTGGGGGTATCGCTTAATATGACATAACCTTCAAAATGGGCATCGCTATGTGGGAAGGTCCCATTGTTTACCCGTTCCTTACAGTTTTTGCAGTGGCTCACATACGTATCTAAATACACATGTGGAATAGAATGGATGTTAGAATCCATGGGGATAGTTATAATCAATCGTTATATGTGTAAAACCCAAATATGTATATTGCATCTATATATATATATATAATATAAATGCATTTATACTAACCAACAATATGGTTTGTGGGTTTGTCTGGAAGGTCTGGATGTCTATAACCTATTGGCACCTGAAAATGTTGTTTTTCCTTTTCGAGGGGGTTTCTTTCCTCTACACTGAAATGATACTGAAATGATACGAAATGTGGGGTATTGGCAGTAGACACAGAAGAATGGGCTGTACAATGGATATATATATATATAAATATTATAATAAACAAAGCAATATGAATTCCCTGTTGCCTGGCCATCAATGCTATAAAATAAGTACTGGACGTTTTGAACGTTGCACCGGCTGCAGCCGGCTGGCGATATTGGATTCGGATGTGCTCATCCGGATCCGACACGGTCATCCGATAGTCCACACTGTAGCCACTGGCATCGTAGGTGTCGATGAGACCTTCGATGTTGCTGATGCCATGTCGTTCCTGAGGGAAGCGGAGATGCTGCTGATTCTGAGGGCGTCCAGTGGAGAATGGGATTTGAGAAGAACTGTAAACCACTGCGATTGGGTGCTGAACCAGAACGGGAATTACAGTCATGAAAGGACAACATAGAAATGAGTTTTAAGTTGCGAAATGGTCACAGAAATATATAGAAATAGAGAAGTGAAACTATAAGTCGGTTGGTGGGGATCTCATGAGCGAATCAGGGGACATTCAATTTGGATAGATCTTGCAATTGTATATTCATTATTCTCACTTGGTGGGCCCTACATGGCCATTTTCAAGAGCTATGTTTGCGTGCTGGAGGGTGCACATCTCACTGACACCAAATCAACAACCCAAATGTCGGCTTGATCCACCAATCAATGGCCATAAAATATCGTTCTGGATTGTGTAGCATTTCTAAGGTGGTGCTGGAGTTCATGTCTTTAGTACACCCTGGATAACCCTAAATATATATATATATTATATAATGTATACATAATATGTGGATGAATTGTAAGACTTTACTAACCTGAAAATAACTGAAATATAAGGCCCTTTCCCTTCCAATAGGAGCCGCCCCCCTGATGGCAATGCTGAAAATGCTGAAATAAGGCCAGTTGGGGATCCTTCCCCTTTACATCCCACCATCACATATGTAATGACATGGAACCCAAGCATCCCAGCTCCCGCAGCTGCAATCATCCAAGCTATGTCTAGCTTGATGATCATCCCTCATGGGCTTGAAAATCCTGCTGAATCTTGAATAAAATAAATGGACACACACACATTGCATATATATATATATAATACATATATACACATATATCAGCATTATATAGCTATGTATAGTCCATACCTTGTATATGTATATATATATAAAACATAAGGTTTCGGCTTCAGCCCCCACGAACCGTTGCCGTCAACCTTAGCGGAGCGATTGTATCGTTGCCGCGGGCACAGCTTTGCACAGCGCTGTCGCCTTGAGCTCTGTTAGTCCAGGGCAGGCTAACACCTCCTTTGCTCTCACAATTGCCCTACCTCGATCCTGATCTACCTGGACAAGCTTATCTGCGGCAGCTGACATCGTCGTTGCCTGGGATTCCTTTTCCACTGATTTTGGACTGGTTTTTCCCCAGACAAAGGGCTCTGGGACGGGTTACCAATTCACTGCCATAAATTGGGTTTTGCATTTCCTGCGGGACTTTAACATTCCGGTCGGGCTTGCACTGCGTTGGCACTGCTCCCCTTCACGGAATCGTTCCTGACCTTTGTGTATGAGCAGGTGCTTCAGGATCTTCACGTTCCTCATTTGGTTCTTGGGCTTCGAGCTTGTTGACCTGGCTACATCTGAATTTGAGTTTCCTGAACTTTGTCATCATTTTACCTTCAGCGAGAAGAGCACTCAGAAGAAAGCGAGCTGCTGCACGCTTTCGGTGGCATCTTCATCGCCTTGGGATCAAGACATTGTCAGTGGCTCAATTGGCCTCCATACACAACACCTTGGCATCACACCACAGCAAGGACCCCAAGCTCCTTCGACGCATCAGCATCGCGATGTCGAGCCGAAATCCAAGCAATGCTGGTTGGATGTGCGGCAACTGCAAGAAACTCAGGGCCAAGAACGCATGGTTCTGCGACCTCTGTGGTTCAGCTTGGGAGGATTGCATCATCTACCCGAAGCCGAAAGCATCGCAGTCGAGATCGTCCTCAAGGAGGTCATATTGGACCGCCCCAGATCACCAACCTTGGGGAGGCCAACATGGAGAAGAAACCCCGAGGCAGCAGCCCAAGAAAACCAGAGGCAAAGGCAAGGGCAAGGGACGCAATGCTCCCCAGCAGACACCACTTGCACCACCTCCTCCACCGGCGCTTTCTGGCCCGGAAGGGCAACAGCAGCCGCCATGGATGAGCATGCCTCTCCCTCCTGGAGTATCGACATCCTCAACGACCACATTGTCGCCAGCCGAGCAGAAATTGAGGGAAGTTTCCAATCTACTCAAAAAGGCGAATCAAGAAACGCTCACACCGGAGCTGCAGCAGTTTATGCTAGAGGAAACCAAAGCTGCCAGCAAGAAGGATGCCAAGACCCTCTACTCGGCTGTGGGCGCCTTGACAAAGGCAAGAGAGGAGCTCGACACGGCGATCCTGGCCAAGAGCAACCTGATGGCGCAATGGAGAGCCTTTCTCACCATGTCCCTGGAACGGTTTCGTCAATATACAGACCACTTCCAGAACCAGGAGCAGGCGCATCAGTTAAGTTGGCCAAGGAAAGGCTGCACAAGGCCAAGGAAGACTTCAGCTCCAAAGAAGAAGCAGCAACTGTGATTTCCGACGAAGAAGAGGAGTCCAAAGCCACAACCACCAAAGAATCAGCTGCCCAGATCCTGAAAGGATTGAGCCATATGACAGAGAGCCTTCAGAAGCTTTCAGATCAAGCAGCAGAAGAGCAGGCAGAAGAAGAACGCAAGGCGAAACGCCCTCGACAGAAGGAAGGCGACCTGCCAGACGTCGCTATGCCTGCCGAAAGCTTGCCATCAATGCAGCCTTTTGGTGTGCCCGGTCACTGATGACTCTAGAGTACTTTGACCGATGGGCAGCTTGGCCTTCCAATGCAATTGCTGCTGAAGTGGCCGGAATGCAATGGTCCCACTCTATCCTGCAAGAGCCTTGCTACAAGTCGCCTTGGCAGGCTAGCGAAGATGCCTTGCACCTGGCATTCACCCTGCAGCCGGACAGCCTAGTTAGGCAATGTGAAAAACGAGAATGGGGCTTCTCGGTTCCTCACAAGAGATGCAAAAAGGGACTCACAGTCTCTTTCAATCCTTTTGCACAAGTCCACTTTGGACCAGAATTCAGTTCTTCATGGACTACCAGCAGGGTTCCTACTGCCGATGTCTCACAACGAGAATGGCCGCCGAAGAGCAGCACATCCTCACAATCCCTTTGCAATGATTGTGACGAAATTCTTCCATCACAATCACTTTTGAAATCGTCAAGCTCAAAGCCCATTGAATGTAGGCCTGACTCGACGGAAAACCCAAACCTCCCAGATCCGCCAAGTTCCTCTGAGGGATCTGAAGGAAGAGGCAGACCCAGAAGAGTCCCCATCAGGCATTTACCTGCCTGGGTAGGGACACTATGGAATATTTTGCAAGATGAAGGAGCCACTGAGCTTCTCGAAGAAGGGCCGGTGATCTACCTCAGCACTTACTATTTGAGTCATCGAAATTGCATTCGACAGGCCGCCAGTCGTCCAATCCGACTGACCAGGCGCTATGAAGAGTGGATCGAGGAGTTCAAGCAGGTATGGGGGGACCTATTTGATCAAGACTCTGATTTCAACCTCTTCCTGGTTCAGCCGGAGCCGCCAATCTCCATCACAAGAGGCATCGTTGGGATTGTGCTCATTGTTCAACATGAACAACCTGGTGGATCTGCAGTTTTGACAACGGCCCTATTCGATGAACTCCCAGCACCGCGTACACTTGAGATTGCCCATGTCCTTGATACATGGACGGATTATGTCACTGTGCTTCATCGAGCCGAAGCTTACGAAGCTTGTGCGGAAGCCCAACGTCAAGGACTTCGACCCTGTGTTCTACGTGCTGGACCGCATGTTTTCCCAAGAGAAGGGCCCTTGCGTGTGACCAATGGACTTGGTATTGTCGTCAATGTTCCTTTGCTCCTCAATGATGAAGCCTGGAACACATATGTTCGACCCAGAATTGAACAATGGCCTGAGTTTGTCCAAGCGCCACATCAAGATGATGGAAATGACCATGATGATGTTGCTTTAATGGGACGCCACCCGCGCCCACGCACCTCAATCACTTCTGGCTCATCCTCCTCTACAACAAGTGCAGACACCGACGCAGCCAGTGCACTTTCACACATTGATGCTGCAGCATGGCGCCGCACGGTTGTCGTTCCCCTTGATGGAGCAACTGTCTCATGCCTCCTGCCGGAGGAGCCAGGGCTAGAACAGCTTCACCAAATTGGACTTGCACTTCCTGATGCACAGGGTGAGGTTGCTGCAGCTTACATTGTAGCAGAGAAGCCAGAAGATCTTGTTGCAATGGATTTAGACTGCTTATTGGTCACCATGGCCCATCAGACACGACCAAACCCATTTTTGCGGCTGACTCTTCTGGACCTGGAGATCTTTGAGGAAAATGACATTCTACCGGGAGCATTTCAGCGTGCTGCAAAATGGTTGCCCCACACTGCCACCAAGCTTTCACTATTCCGCATCCTATGTCTTGAGAACCTTTTTGTGCTCCACGCTGACAAGACCAGTCTCTGGATCAACAACATCCTTATCGATTCTGCAGCAAGCGATGCACTCACCATTGAAGATGGCGATTTTGTCAAGATCTTTATTGGCAACAATGAGCACCACTTTCAGTGCCCTGAAGACCATGAGCCCATGGCGTTTCTTCAGACAGCCATCACAAAGGCAATCTCAGTGATGCAGGACCCTGGACATCAGGCAGATAGATCTGTCATTACATCAGCATGCCAGATTGATGATCGTCCTGAAACCATCTCCTGCAGTTTCACAGAGGAATTTTTGAGAGCTGTCGATGCATTGCGGACTGCGACAGAAGCCACACCGGAATTTCCGGAAGATGACCCCGGCGACATCACAGCCTATGACCCGTGGGTACAACAATTGTACGAGGCTTGGACTCGCTCCGCTACCATCGGGCCAGGAGGCATGGAACGCTTGGGCAGAGTGGAAACCTGGTTCACTGACCATGCGAATTTTCAAAGATGCCACCATACAAGAATCGCGGTCCTTGGACCAGATGCCCATAGATGGGAAGAACAACTGCGCCATCTTTGGCGGCAATATCTTCTCCTTGGTGCACCACTTGAATTCTACATGGTAGAGCCGATGCCAGAGGACGCATCAGGATCCATTATTGGCCAGCTGATCCTTGTCCAGCGACCCCATGTCTTCCAACGCTCAGTCATCATTTCGGTGCATGACAGCG